TTTTACTAATAGATGGGTCTTGGGATCCGCTCTGAACTTCGTAAGTGATGGAGAAGATGGAGAACTTCCAGGGAATAGGATCAGAAAAATCAAAAGCAGATTTAGCGTAAGAGTTGGTAACATGAATTATAACAAGTGAGAGCGAGAAGACGATCGAAAACCGGGATGTTTAGGTTAAATATATCTGAAAACTCGTGAAATAATTTAGATTGAGAATTGTACATTGAATCATTAAAAAGGATTTAAATTAAGTTAGCAAAATCTCTATTTGAATTTTATGAAATATGGTTTCAAATTTTTACTGCTTTTTAACAACAAATTAAAGTGGAAAATGAATGTAGAAAAAGCATAAAAAAGGTCATCAATTTTTTTTTTAATTTTAGCGCGTTCCCACGCAAAAATATCTATTCACAATCCTGTTGCAAACAGCAAAAACAATTTCAATATTATAGTATTTTATCTACTTCGTTCCAATTTATATGAACTTTTTCAGAATGTACTTGCGATAACTTATCTAAAATATGCAATCATGAAGGCGTTGCTATAGTGACGCTATGCGTTCAATTTCAATAAAGTACATTTAATAAAATATATTAATCTTATCATTGAAATGCTCAAAAGTGGATTTTATTTTATTTTAACAACTTCATCATCACATCATCTCATCACATTTTAATCATTATATCATGCTATCAACATCATGTTAATCATCACATCAACATAACGTTTTAGTTATTGTCATTACAAAGCCTTCATTATAACATCACATACAACCTCACATCACATAATCGCTTTACCGCATCATATCGCATTACACATCACCACAACGTCACATAATCACAACATCATCTTCATCCTCATCATCTTCATTCTCATCATCCTCAACCTCTCCAATACAGAATGACTTGGGTCTGGACGAAAATGCACGAATGACCGTTTTAAATTTTAACCATGAAAAGAAGCTACAAATGTACAGGCAGCATAGAAAGGTATTCATTTATTTATTCAATCAATCATTCATTCATTTATTCGTTCACTAATTCATTTTTAGTTCATTCATTTATTCATTCATTCGGTCAGCTTTTCTTCTCTTCAGTGTTTACACTAGTTCATTCATCAGCTTATGAATAAATTTGATTTGTTTGTTTGTGTGTAATAGAATTATAAAATTTTATTCAAAGTGTAATACCATAATAATCTTGTTTTTGTCTTACTGAAGCAGTGTCTTTCCATGGTTACTACAGGAAGGTAGGGCTGATCTGAAATGTGCCGATACATGATTTAGATGTAACGCCATGTAACGGTTCACGAAACTTCAAAAATTTATGAGAAAATCATGTTAAGCGGTCCAATGCAAACTAATAACTTACAAAATTATACTCACGAATGCGTGCATATTTTCAAAAAAAATAACAAATTCCAAAAAACCCATGTAACTTGCTTTAAAACGAGAAAAGTAGGTTTTTTTTGGAAAAAGGTGCAGGGCTATTTCTTATGTTAAAAATATGGTGTATGGAAATGTTATATGAAAATTGTAACAGGGTTACGGGCCACAGTTGAAAAACACCGCTCTAAATTATCAATATTTTCTCATAGAACCATAACCTAAACGAAACTCAGATGCTAAACCAATGTATAGTTAAACAACGGCATCTAAACTACTATAACCGCCGTTACCGACAAACAAATGTTTTATTACCATTTTCAAATATAAATCTCAATCTGATAATTATATATCGTACATCATTTCTACATTTGTACACAATTGTATTGGTATATTTATTATTGTTGTATTATATTACCTATTATAAAGATCACATTTATGCCATATTTTTAGTTATACAATTATATATACATATATATTTATTTGGGTTGAGATAAAAAAAAATATTTGTTAGTACATATATAGTTTTGTAAGTATGTGTGTTTGTTTGTATGTGTCTGCATGTGGGTGTGTGTGTGTGTGTGTGTGTGTGTGCATACATGTATTAAATATATTTATATATATTTGTAAATTTTTGTTCATATTTATCCTACAACTGGATTCTAACAAAATATTTACTCATCTAAAGTTTTGACGACAATACTTCTACTATTATCACTCTTATTATTTTTTGTCACGATTGTTATTACATTGTATTGTTATTATTATTATCATTATTATTATTGTTATTATCATTTTTATTGTTGTTGTTATTATTCATTGATCATTATTTACAGAAGGGATCAAGAATTAAAAACGCTTGAGTTGGTGTGAGTAGGTGTGGTCTGTTCTCATTCAACATTAATAACTTTTGAAAAATTAGTTTATTTTTCGGGCAGACTTGAATATAAAATTAAAATACTTTGCATTAACGTATTTTATTTTTACCCAAAACACAACAAATAGTTATTAAACTTTTCGATTTGGCATGAGCAAAAAATGATGATGAGGAGGAGGAGGAAGATGATGACTAATTTTAACATTTTCTAACATTTAATTTTATGAAATTCCAAAACCTTGAACCAGTGGCATGAATTAATAATGAATAAACATTTGTAGATCTGCTGAATTCTTCTACACTTAATTATATTCAAGCAATAATTATATTGATATTTTTTCTCAAATATTGTTTTCACATTCTGTTCGAAATGTCAAATCTTAATACGAAAGTATATTTCGATGCTGAAGAGCATTTTAAAAAAATTTGAAGCACTTCAAAAGCCATACTTGACATGAGATTAACTACTAAAATTATTATTTCTATCATAAACAAACATGGACATCTGACCTGTGCAATTTTGAAAAACTTTTATTTTAAATCTTCATCAAGCCAAATTTTGCAAACATAAATAAGAGAAAATAAGCAATAGTAATAAAAACAGTTACAAATACATACACACACACACACATGCAAGCGAACTATATATTGGCGTCGACTTTCTTTTTTCAAAAATTTGAGATTGTTTGGACTGCCACAAAATCATTTTTTTCCATTACGAGATAATAACGGTAAAATATATATATATATATATATATATATATATATATTTGTGTGTGTTTTATTTTGAAGATTAGCAATAATAGAATTAGCTATCTTATATCTAGAAATTATCTAATTACTTCATTCCCAATATAAATTATAATCGTCAAATTTTGGTACAAAATATCGCAATCATGAAGCCAGCAAGAGGGAATAACAATTTATATGATCCTGTATAAGTGTATAATACATTTGTGTTTTTGTGTGTTGTGTGTGTGTTTATAATACATTCGTGTATTGTGTTCGTGTGTTTGTGTGTGTATATGTATGTGTGTGTGTGTGTGTGTGTGTGTGTGTGTGTGTGTGTGTGTGTGTGTGTGCGTGCGTGCGTGTCAAATGTTCAACATAACTTGGACTGCTTAGACGACAAATTATATTAGGCATTTTTTTACTTGAAGTTTGTTTATTTATTCACCTCTGAAAGTTAATTCTTCTTGAGTGAGTAGTGTGTCAAACTTTACGAGCAACTAATGTTTACAACAATTTTATACCTTAGTTATGATTTATAACGTTTTTCATTTTATGATTTTGTGATGGATATTATACTCACGCACACGCGCGCGCTGAACAAACACACACACATTAAAATAATTTTTGGATTTATAATGTGCATGGTGTTTGGACGACGGCCTTCAACGAGAAAAACTGTACGAACATCTCAATAAACATTATCCAGGCATTATAAGAACCCATATAACATACAGAAATTATTGAAGGACCGAGTGCCACGTTGCTAAAAAAACTGACTTTCTGGGAAAATTGGTCTAATATTATTGTGAAAGCTTTTATTCGTTGGAAAACAACAGACAATTTGCAGTAAGTGGCTGGTTAAGAAATATATATAAATGTGCTGCATTTTCGGCAATTTACATGATTTAGTTGCATTTAAAAGTACTTTTACATAGGGTTCAAAATGTGATTGAATGATATTTAGCACGAAATCGCCAAACAAAACAGAGTGATCACATAAAAAAATTAGGAGATTGTTTTCCAAATTGCCTGCTTGCCACAATGAACAAATGAACATTAAACAATTTCAACTACGAGTGCAAACAAAGTACATGAACAATAACTGCATATTTAAATTTGAGCTAAAACTCAACTTTATTTTTTATTACGTGAAACATTTAAACAAATTAACAGCATTCAAATAGTTAATAGCAGAGTGTGAGATAATATTTTTGTATAGTGTTTTATGCGATAGAATAAAAATTGTTCATAGAACCAGCTGAAGTAGTTAACAAAATTCGTTTATTGTAGAATTGTAATTAAATCGTTTCCTGCTGTGCTGATTGTTTTGTTACCAAACATAATTTGAAGAACCCATTACTTAATAAGAATAATAATAAGAGTACATTACTTAGCATATCGAATTATTCATTGTAACATTGTAAAAAAAATACAGCTTGCTATGTTCATAAATTAATAATCACTCCATAAAAACCATTAAATTAATAATCTTTTTTTAAATTGATAGTCGAGAGACGAGCCAACGAACTACATATGCAAGATGAAGTTTTTCTCTCAGGTACTGATCACATTTTACTCTCCAATAAATATTATTTAAACGAACTTTCCTGTGTAACAATAACAAAATTACTCTTCACAGATCTAAAAAATAAAATTAGTTATTATAATATATTATGTCGGTTTAATTTTTTCTTAAAATAAAAAATTTTGAAATTAGGCTGTATAAATTTAATTGATTAATTGAATGATTGACTGACTGACTGATTGGCTGGCTGACTAACTGACTGACTGACTGACCGACCGACCGACCGACCGACCGACCGACCGACCGACCGACCGACCTACTAATTGATTGATTAATTGAATTGATTGAATTGATTGATAGAATGATTGATTGATAATTTTTTTTCTTATTTCTGCAAGCCCTTCTGTGAAGTTCCACTGAAAAACCAGACAGAAACGTTAGAGAGGTTGAGATTTCTCCTAAGAACAACAAGAGTCAGCTCCGTCGAACAGTTTTTCAATGCGAAAGGTTTCGACGCTCTGATCAATTACTTTAAAGTTACCACTAGCAAATATTCTCATGATCGAATCAACGAAGTTGTTATCGGATGTCTAAAAAATATAATGAATTGTCAGGTTAGCATGTTTGACTTTGTAAACAATATTTTAAATAACTTTATTGGTAAAATGTATTTGACCCAACTCAAAGTTTGAGCTATGTTAAACCAGTTTATGCTATTGATGTCATTCTATAATATCATTTTTAAAGCGTCGTGGAAGCGTCTGAAAGCATCAAACACACGGTGTATATAATAAGCATGAATGAACGCATCAGACACATTTGTTTTCGAATTCAGTCATTGCAACGGAAATACCAGACATCTTTACCACAAAACCATTGTGGTGCAGCCCAATTATATCAAATTTGTAACACACAGGAAGGTCGAAAAGCAGTACTAATGCACTCAGACGCTGTAAACGTGATGGCTTTAAAATCTTTTCCATCCGAAAACAAAAATGTGCGATCACGAACGTTGTGCATCAGCATCTTGAGTGCTCTCTGCATGGTTCCTGGCGGTCACAAAAAAGTCATACATGCCATGACTTACGCTCAGACCACGGTCAAAGACAGAACAAGATTTCAGGTGTGTTTCAAATCTAAAAAATTTCAGACCATAACATTGTTATTGATTTAAAAACTTGTACCCGATATTAATACAATGAATTGATACAAATCGTTTCACTTCATGCGCCAGAGACTGTTATACGATTTGGACGTTGAATCCAACTACGCCGATGATTACAAGTCATGCATTGAGTTGAAAACAGCCATCATCGCTTTCATCAACTCTTTAATAAATTATGGGCCTGGAGAAGTAAAGAATCTATCCACTTTTGAATAATCAATCCACTTTTTACTTAACCATTCCACTTTTCCACGTTTTATTTATTATTGCGATAATATTACCTATTATTATTATTATTATAGTTATTACCTTACCTAACTCAGAAGAGCATAGAATTCAGACTGCACCTCAGATACGAGTTTTTAATGCTGGGAATTGAAAGCATTTTCGACAAGCTAAAATTGTATGGGAACAATATTATTAATAAGTAAGTTAACATCACGAATAAAATTTAATTTAAATTAATTATTAATAATTAATTAATAAATTAATTTTATTAATTTATAAAATTTATTCAATGTAAACATCTTCTGAAAGTTTAATAATTATACTTTTATTCATTTTTTGAACAGGCATATCGATTTTTTCGAGCTTATAAGAAATAAAGATGAAAAAGAATTCGTAACTCTCTCTTCTTCAAAGGTTTGTGATTGTCGAAAGATTCATAACTGTACAATTTCTCCTTCCATATTGTTAATAAGAATTGAGAAACTAGCGCAAATTACGCATTCCTAATACAAAATACATTTTAAAAATATTTAACTATTTATTAAAAAACAAATAAATTTTGGATAGACAAGATTTGATAGCAAAAGTGTATCGTCGATGTTTGAAGCGTTAAAGCAAAAGTACATCGTATCTCCTATCTACACGAACATTCTGTCTATCTTATATCATTTGCTCTTAATCCAGAGTAAGTCTCGTGAATTATACTTTATACAACTCATGATCAAAGTTGGATATTCTGAAATCCTACAGCATGAACATGAACAAACAATTGCAGATAAATCTACAAGCACATGTCATCAGTGGAAACTCATTGACAACATAGTCCAGGAAATTTCTATCCAGTCAAAAGATGGAGACACTGCGGCCACTGTCGGATTGCTTGGGGACAGCGTGAAATCCATCATCTCCAAGTAAATTTTAATTAAACAGAAAAGGAGTTCAACGAGTTTGAAAAGTTTCTTGAGTTAGAAAGTGTGAGTTGGTAAGTTTCTGGCTGGTACAAACCGTTCCGTTAATCATAGCAACTTTAATTAAGAAATTATAATTTAACTATTTATCCGAAATAATATTTTTTATTAAAAAGATTTTGCGCTAAAAATTGCGATATAAATTGATAAATATAAAATCTTATAAATTGAGAGCAATATATTTAAAAAACATTAGAGAAAACTATATATGTTAAAATAATGCTTAATCGTTGTTCTGCCGCTGATACGTTTATTTTTATGGATATTCTTTATAATCTAGAAAAATATTTTGAGGAGAAGGCGATTAAACTCGTAACAAAGTTAAAGAGTTGGATGAATAGTGGCATTTTGTGACAGAAAATGTAGGTATAAAATAACGTAACAAACTATTTCCAAATAGTAATTTGAAATTAAATAAATAATAATATATCATGTGTTAACAGAATGATTCAGGAAGAGTCAGTGAAAGAAACCCAAAAACGACTGGTGGATGCCCAAAAGAAAACGATGGATCTGAAAGCTCTACTGGAAAAGAAAGAAAAAGAATGCGAAACCAAATCGGAAGAAAAAGTAAATTCACCCTCCAAAGATACCGGTTTTTTACATTAAGAAATTTTACGAAAGTTTAGCAAGCATATAAATTCTGTACATTTTTAATAAGCCAAGAATAGAGGTTTTAGTTATTTATGTTTTTCTGCATCAGCTAATTTTGCCGTCGTGTTAATTACATAAATTAACGGTTACAATAATCTACTGTTATAACAATGATATGATTAACCATTAGACATATTTTCTATACGTTACATGCTAAATTGAATTTTTTATAGGATATGCTTTTAGAAACTTTGAACCAAATGAAGATCAAGCTGGAAAAAGATGCATCTGAATATAAACAAACTATTTCAGATTTATTAATTCAAATTGAACAGTTGAAGTTAAGTTCATTTAAAAAATTTGAAAATGACAACGTTCCCAGCAACCAAGATTCGAACAATCATTTCAGCAATACGCCAACGACGCCTAACGCTGTTCCGATTAACTCACCTGATTTGATTCCATCACTCCCAGAACTTCCTCCAGAATGCCCCATGCCACCACCACCACCACTCCCACTATCACCACCACTCCCACTATCACCACCGGATTGTAGCATACCTCCACCGCCTCCACCACCATCATTTATCGGGCTTTCTACAAAGCCAACCAAAAACTGCCCGCAACCAACTCAACCGATGAAGTGTTTCAACTGGACCAAAATTCCAGAAGGAAAAATTTCCGGAACAATCTGGGAAAAGCTTGACGATTCTAAGGTTTATAGAAGATCGTTTTTAGCGTTTAGTCTATTCTATTCACGAATTTTTGTCAACTATGTCAATTTACATCAGCTTTTTGTTTTTAGTTTTTCATAACTACAAAATGCATTGAAATATCGATACATGGTGAACAACAGATATATTGCCAACTCGACCTGGATGAACTTGAAAAGAATTTCACAGCATATCACAAGCAGGACCAGAACATGGACGGAGAGAACAAAGGCGCGTTGAACAGATCGGCGAAGATACTGAGCCTCATAGATGGCCGAAGATCTCAAAACTGTACAATCATGTTGAGCAAGTTGAAGATGAGCAACTACGATTTGATTCAGGCCGTTAGAAACGTTGATCCCAACAACGAGCTGACAAAGGATATGTGCGAGCAGGTGAACTACAAGAGAAAGTTTCAATTGATTTTATTTGTTTGAATTTAAAAAATAACAAGCGAGATCAAAATAAGCTTGTTCTTATATTGTTACAACGAGTTTGATCTAATCATTATATTATTTATAATAATGTTACCATTGTAGAACTTTATCACTGTAGTTTTATGTTATAATTTAACGTAATAATTGAACAACAGCTTTTAAAATTCACACCAACAACCGAAGAAACTCAAATGTTAAATGAGCAAGCGAAAGAAATAGACAACATGGCTAAAGCGGACAGATTTTTACTTGAAATAAGCCAGTATGTATTGAACATCATTTTTAAAAAACACACAAGTGATCGTAAAAGCATTTAATTTTTTCAGTCAACAGCATTTAATAGGCAATAATTGTTAATAATTTTCAGAGTTGATCACTACGAATCATTGTTGAAATGTCTTTATTATAAGAAGAAATATAATGAAAGAATTAATGATGTCGTCCCTAGAGTCACAGGTTTGAATTTCGCTACATTTTGCGCTTGAACTCTTGCAAAACTGACAAAAACAGTTGCATGAAATTAATAGTTCGAATGACTATCTTGAAAATTATCTCGTTTTTTTGCGTTTTTGAAATAAATTTCAAAACTAAATCCAACAAAAACACAATTACAATGATAAACCAACAAAAAGTAGATTAATGAATGTACGTTTTTCAGCTGTATCCTCTGCCTGCCACGAAGTAACGAACAGCTCATCGTTGATGACGGTATTAGAAATAATTTTAGCACTTGGAAATTTTTTGAACAAAGGCCAGAGAGGCAATGCTTATGGATTCAAGCTTTCCAGTCTTACAAAAATTATGGATACAAAATCGAGTGTCAATAAAAAAACATCTTTACTTCATTACCTTGTGGAAATTATGGATTCGAAGGTTAAATATCTTATCACTTTTTAATTCGTACACAATATAAGTTTAACATTAAACTGATGCCAATATTTTCTTGTGAGATTTTTTGCTACGTTAACTTTCAATTGTTAGTTTCCTGACATCAAAGACTTAAGAAACGAAATGTCAGACGTAAAAAATGCTTCCAAAGTAGTGTAAGAGCTTTAAATACTGTTTAAAGTTCACTCAATCAATTGGTTTATAACGGTTTTTTTAATTTTACAGATTGCCAGAACTGGAATCAGAAATAAACAGTTTGAAGAATGGTTTGACAGACGTTGAAATTGTTGGTAACTGTTAATAAACTAATCAACTTCATACCAATTCAGTATTGTTTATGATAATTTGCAAACAACATGGCGGCAGGAGACTAAGTATCAACAAGAGAAACGGTTGATTGGTCAATCAGTGTTCTGTCAAGTCATGAACGAGTTTCTCAGTGTATCATCCTGCAGATTGTTCACATTAGCTGACCAGTTGCGGGAAATGAAAAATCAAGTACGTTGTTTTTTTACCATAGTTATATATATTACAAATTAATATTTGAATAATGAAAAAATTATTTAAAATTACAAACCTGCTTGCATTTTTTTATGATAGTACCAAACGGTTCTAAAAATATATGGAGAAGAACTGAACATACAGCCAGAAGAATTCTTCAAACATTTTGACCTCTTCCTTGATAACATGGACGAGGCCAGGAACGAAAATCTGGCACTCAAAAAATTGAAAGAAGAAGAGGAAAAACGAGCACTAAGAGAAGCGGAAGTGAGTAAATAAAATACTTATTTGCGTCATTTATTAGCAGAAACATTCCTGCACGTTTCTTACCCACTGTGAACGATTAGGAAAAAACAATTTCATCATATCTTCAGCGCAAAATTATTTTAATCATATCAGCTTTCTTGCGCCAAATCTCTAGCTTTTTAATTATTAAAACGTTGCTTTTGACAGCTGAAAGCAGAGAAGCAAAGAAGAAAATCTAGTTTAACAGATGGAACGCAAACGGGTAAGACTTTTTATTTTCGTAAAACTATATGCACTAAGATGAATTCATCAACTCATAAATTTCATTTAAGAAACGGGGGAATTCGATATGATGATAAAAACATTGATGACTGGCGAAGCATATGACGGAGTGAAAAGCAAAATGAAAAGAAATCAAGTTAAGAAATTTTATACTGCAGAAAAATCAAGCTCAAACATTCCACCCTCATATTCAGCATCGAAGATGTTTTCTCCTCAAGATAAAAGTCATTACAAGTAAGCGTTAACGATGGACCTTAACGTAAAATCATTTACCGACAATATTTAAAAACCATTTCCCGCCAACAGCTTCTCATTCTCAACCGGAGATCTGTTAAGTGATGATGTTCGTGCGGCGAACACTCTTCCCAGATTGATGGAAAGTAGGAAGAGGACTTCGACAACTGCATCATCGTCAGGTTGGGGATTGCCTGGCATCTGCGAGTCCAGAGAAAGAATAAAAGTCACTACCTGAACTTGTGCATTGCATATATAGTTGTACACACACACACACACACACACGTATATATATATATATATAGTACAATAGGATACACTTATTTTTTCGTTATATATATATATGGTGGGTATCTGCACAATTTTGACGGGCCTAACAATTCGAACTGTGCAATCATTATTTGTATGTATTAGTTATTTAAATAATTTTGAGAAATTAATTTTTTGTACAGATTTTCATACGACTTCAAAAGCTCGACATTTTTATATCCTAAAATGTCAGAAATGTATTTAAATTTTCAAACAATTTTGTGTTTCCAACAGTTGAGAACTTTTAATTCCTGAAAATCCATGTCATCTATTAGTTTGGTATTCTCTTCAGCGCATTTAATTTCTGACCACACATTGCTTAACTTCTTGGATTTTTTGATCTGAACAAAATTTTCGAATGTAATCTAGTTAGAATATTTGAAAACAATATTACTTCGATCGGACTGAACTCAGGAGCTGGCATAATTTTATCTAACAAATTTGACCATTTGATTAGCTGAAAGTTAGTAGAGTTTCAAGTTAATAAAATTTGTGGTTTTAATAAGTTAGATCAAGATGTAAATGTTCCATCTTACTTTAAAGAAATCATGAGTTAGAAAACCGGCTGCCAGATCATTGTTCGATGAGTTGTTAGTGTTTATTAGTTTATCCTTCAGCTGAACTGACGAGGTGACCTTCCATAAAACATTAAAAAACAACTTCAATGTGAAAACATAAACAATACACATCCTACATGTACATACAACTGCGTAGGAGTTATAACACGATCGTGATGAATTGAAGAGATTAAAACTATAAAAGAGATCGTTTTATTATGATTAATGATTTCATTTAATTTGCTTTCGCAAAAATTGAAAATATTTCAACTGCACAGAAACATAAATGTTACTGCACATTGAACTAATTTAATAATACTACCGAATTAACACACTACACATATATAAATGCGTATGTGAATTATTTATCGTTCACCAATCAAAATTTTTAACATCATCTTTTTTTATTGACAAATAAATTCAATGAAGCCCAAAATTTGAATTGCTTTCCTAATGAAAATAGAAAATTAAACTATACCTCTTTGAGAAATTCGACACACGCTTGTGAATTTTTCGTAAGATATTGATCTCTGCCCTTCAGCGGTATCATTATTAATTTCTGTTGGATAATAATAAGTGACAGAACTGGTAATAAACTGAGAAGAATTTACAGAAGTTAAACTATTTCAACAGACGGAAAAATGAAAAGTATGAAATACAACTCAGCTTCCTCAAGATTTCTGTAAGTTCAGATGTTCTGTAAGTTTTCTGTAAGTTCTGCAAGCACTAAATGACAACAGCCTACTTCATTACACTAATTGATTCTTTTCGTATTATTTTTCAGTTCGTTATTTAGTTTTAGTGCTATATTTGTTGAATCAGTAAATTTAAATTCAACAGGTATTAAGTTAAATACGGACTGGTAAAATTATATAATTTCTTTTTCCTACATTAACATGTTCAGTATCGTTACACGGTTTAGTTTATTTATGCTAGCTGTTAATGCAACTTATTTCCACTAACGCTTTCGCCTTTAGTCTTGAGATCACTTCATTGTCCCATGTGTTTTGTATCAATAAAACTTATCATGTCAAAATTAAATATCTTAAACATGAAACTAAATTTTACATAAGTGACATAATCGATTTATCTTGGCATTTAATACATTTGGGCATTTTTTATGCTGCTGTAATATCAAATTTACTGATCTGCCTTTTTTCTCAACTGAACAAAACTTTGTCAAGATTTAAAAATAAACAACACAACTCAAACCACAATAATCTTGCAAAACGGCGTACAAACTTTTCAAAGTTAGAATAACCATCACATCAAATTTGCAAAATTAAAATCCATTAAAATTGTAGACATGTACTAATTAAAAAATGTAATAAAAAAATTTATTATTGGTACATGCACTAACATCTCCCGTTAGCATCTCAAAAAGACATCTGCCCAGCTGCACGAAATCATTTGCAAAACAATCGAAACAATTGTCCTCATTCACCATTTGACTATACGAAAAATCCATCAATTTAGGATAACCATCACTGTTAAGAACCACCGACTGCAGCTTTAAATTGCTATAAATCAATTGATAAATTAATTATTCATCTAAGTTTAATTTGGACGAATTTTACTATAGATTTTTTTCGATAAATATTTGTCACACTTACGATTGCCATGCTAATGACATCAAGTTAAAGACTAAAATATTTTTATCATAAATTCTCTTCCTATAAAAAATGCATAAGTTGCTCGTGTGTTATCAGCAATTACAATTGATAGGAAATATTTAACACAATTCGAGCATACCTATCTACGTTATAAAAGCCTTGTTATAAAAGCTCTTGTAAAGTTTCTTTGCGAACTTTTAACATTCTTCACACTCATTCGTATTAACCTTTGATATTTTTTAGAATAAAATGAAACAGTTTATTACAACAGAGAAACGCATATAACATTAACCCATGAGTTATTTTTAGAGCATGCAGATGGTGTAAGGCCATCATAATGCTTGCAGTGTAAAACATAGCACGATATTCATCGAAATATTCATCCCAGAACAGATGTCTCTGCAAACTAATGCAGTTCACGTTTTCCATTACAATTACTCCATGTCCCTGAAAAATTGTTCCAGAGAAAGTTTTAAATGGAGCATGCAATTTTATTTAAAAGATTCTAAATGAATAAATTAAAATATAATAAGAATAGATCTTTTTATGATCAATTAAATTATGAAGTATTTTTCAAACAAAGATTATTTTCACATTTATCGAAACAAGCTTATAACTAACTGGTGTCTGGAAACAGTCTAGAATATTTACTATGAAGCTTGTTTTACCAGCTTTGGAAATTGTTTTCAAAATATAAATTTCTTTTTCAATAATTTCTATTGTTAACGGAGATTTAGTTTTTATTTTCAGAACACATTTATTCTCTTCAGCTTCCACATTTATCATCTTTCTAGCTGAAATGAACTTTTAAATGGTATATTTATTACAAATAATTTGTTCTCCGTAGGAGTGGTTTTTATTAGGTTGGTGCAAAATTAACGTCGGTTCAGTGGCGTCACTAGGGTTGGTGTCACCCGGTGCGGTAACTCATGGTGTCACCCCTCTCATGACACCCCATAGACATACAGCATTCTTAGCATAATTTATAAATAAATTTACAACGACAATAGAAGAAAAAATAATTCAAGGTCGATTTTTTTATTCTTTAAAAAAATTGTGATCTATCAAAGATTTTAGAAATAAAACTAAATAGAAAATATGTCACTTTTTTAATTGTTATTTTTACATTAAATTTTATGTCACATTAAATCTCAACTAAATCAGAACTTCCCTTTCCTCGCCTTTAAAGATGCAAACTTGTTAATTACTTCATCAAAATCAACTTCTTTTGCCAAATCTCTTTCAATTGATAATATTGCAAGATCAGAAAGCCTAGACTGTCCCATAGTAGATCGCAAATAGTTCTTTATACTCTTTAGCTTTGAAAAACTCCTCTCACATGAAGCCACAGACACACAGATTGTAAGAAATAATTGTAGGCTCACTGAGAGATATGGGAGAGATTCTAGGAAGTCCCATTCAACTATGAATTTCAAAATGTCAAGTACTGACCAGTCTTTGGCTTCTTCAAGATCAATCTTTGCTGCCTTCAGATATCTTCTCAGTCTTGGTATTTCTAATAAAAGCTCTATTTCTGATAACTCATCATAGAATGTGGTCAATTTTGGAATGTTTACCAATAACTCTTCTTCAGTAGCAGATATCAAACTCTTGGCTTGAACAACCTCAAACATGGCTGCTACTTCCTTGATGGCTCTTGATCTAATCTGGAGTTCAGAATGGAAACGATCAATACACTCATACATCGCTCTCTTGTTTTCTTCCTGCAGAGTAAGTCCAGCATCTCTCGTCTTCTCGCGCTCGCCTGCCATCCTCTTCTTGAACCTGGGTCTGCTCTCTACTGAAATTCCATATTGGTCTGATTTTATAAGTGCCTGTTCAATTGCCTGCTCCACAGGATGATTGCGCTTCTCATACATAAAAAGTCTTAGTGTCTCTAGCTTTGTCACCACCTTGTCAAGACTTAAGCCCTTATTCTGAAGGTACAGCTGCGTTAGATTTACTTCTTCAAGTACATCACACCAAAAGAAGAGATAGCACAGAAAAGTGAAATTGCAGATAGCAGGTAAAAGACCTCGGGCTGTACCTCTAGTGTCTAGATTTTCCCCAGAAACACTTCTCTTACTTCAACTTTTCTATTATGAATTTTCACATATCTGATAATTTCAGACATTTGGTCATTGTGTGATGCGTCAGGTGTGCTATCAAACATGATACCAAAATACCGGGCAGATTTTATATCCATGATAAGCTTCTCCTTCACATGATTTGCTAGGACATGAATAAACTCATTCTGAGTATTTGGTGCAAGATAAGATGCTGATGCTTTAGTTTTATGTGTGCTTTGCTTTAATCTTAATAGGTGCTCTTTTAGCACTGAGTCATATTTAGAAAGCATCTCAACCATTTCAAGAAAGTTTCCTTTATTTAATGAAGATTCTTCTTCATTGTGGCCCCGAAAAGCCAGATTTTGCTTGGCGAGAAACAATGTAATATTGAGCAGCCTATGCAAGATGTCTCTCCACTTTTTCTTCTCTATGTCTATCAAAGCAATATTTTCTGCATCAATTGTTTTGTGCATTTTAAGTCTCACCTCCAAGGTTTTCCATTTTTCAAAGCAATGCAAGTGAGCATCGGATGTCTCATGATTAGGCACTTTCGGGCTCATTTTCCACCATGTCTGAAATCCAGTCACAAATTTGGATGTTGTGTCTGTAGCATTAACGGCAAAGAGTCGCCAGCAAAAACAATATAATTTCTCACTGACGGGAGAATAAACCATCCATGTTCGCAACATCTTCTCACCATTTGGCATCACCATATAAAACCACTCTTTAGATAGCTGGCGAACATCACCTTTAGCTTTTAGATCTTGCCTCGTCAACATCCTGAAAGGCCCATCTTTGTTCTGGAGATATGCACTTCCTCTTTTGATGATTTGAACGCGCAATTGATCTGGAATTGGTATATTCCAATAAGAAGCATCATCCAAAACATTCCAATTTTTCCCCGTAAGTTCATTTTCAGTATCATATTTAGAGTCACTATTATCAGTCCACTCTTCTGCTACAAATTCATCTATTTCTTTATCTTGTCCTGCTCTATTTTCTTCTATATTAATGTTTTCCTCTGCTGACTGCATACCAGCATCAGATAAATTAGTCTCATCATTTTGTGGTTGAGGAACTGTGTCTTTGGAAGAACTCTGGGCCTCATCTGATCCCTTTATATATTGCATCATAGATCTGCGCAATGTAGATAGTATTTCATCTTTCTTTATTTCGGCTTTCTTTGTTGACATCCGCTTAGCCTTTTTGTTGTATGAACTCCACCTCCACGTGGCATGATATAATATCCTTCAACAATAAATATATAAATATAAATAAATAAAATGAAATTATTTGAAATTTGGTTGGTTAAATTAAATGTAAAAATTTTAAAATTATTTAAATGCTAATAAAACAAATTATATTTGTACTTACGGATCAACTTTTGTGAAATTACTTTGAATTGTTGTCTTATATCATTAAATTGATTAAAAATTAAATAATTTTTTACTTTAAGTAAATTATAGATTATTCTCTTAAACTTGACTAAAACACGCGCGTAGTAGGTGGGCAAAACAAACACTGTTGTACGTTATGCTAGACAAGTTAAATGTGCGCGGCGCTTAATAGTTCGGACGTCAAATGGTATAAACGTGGAATACAAAAATGGATGATTTAAACGAAAGAAATTTTATTCATAATACATTTCTGGGCGCTGGGCGGGTTAGGCTGAATTAATGCTAAGAATAATTTCATGGAGGGACATAAAAACATATTCAGTGATATTTTGGTGTCACCCCTTGTCACCCGGTGCGGTCCGCACCCCCCGCACCCCCCTAGAGACGCCCCTGCGTCGGTTTCGTACCGTCGATAATTTGGATTCTATTCCAGATATTCAATCGAACTAAAAACCATTGCAATCTACGCTCATCTGCCAACCAGAACTAAGTTTATTGGTACTGTAGTATAACAATTTGCAATTCTTTAAACGACAAACTGTAAGACGTTTTTTTAAGGCGTTTTCGGTTTTGTAGCAGAGTTCCCAGAAAAAGTTGTTGAGGTGTTTGATAAAATGGTAATGGGTTAATTAAATTAAAAACTTCGTGTCGAAAAAGTAGGCAACGCAAACCCGACATTATTTTTGCATCAACCTAATATTTAAATCATTCTCACTTTGTCAAGATTCCATAATTCTACGAAAGACATTAAACGATAATCCCCAATATAGTAGGTGAAGTTTGTGTCGTTTTCAGTTCTGCAATTACTTTCCAAATTTTCATCAATATCAGTATTATCATCTGAAGCTATTGACAGTTCATTGCACATTGAACTAATCTGAGGCAACGTAAAAACGTTTGGGATATTTTTAGTGCTTATAGCTATGAAATTCAAATATTTTAACCCTAGGATGGCGGTTACAGCTAGCCACTGACTTTAATCCAAAAGAAAAAGAGCTGGGGTTAGCTGACTTAATCATTCAAAAAACACAAAAAATGTCTATTTTATTTTTGATAAATTCTGAGAAATAATGTTGTTGTAATTACCGATAGAGGTAGCGAATAGTATAGTAACAAAACAATAAATATTCAATATTTTGAAGTAATTTTATTATATTTTCTATATATATTTTAAGGTGAAGTTATAATATAGGTGTGGTGCAGGTAGTTGAATAATTTTTTCTGAATGATTATTATTATTGGTATCAACCTGGAGGTATCAACGAAACACACACCTACCTAATAATTAATTCCCGAAAATCAACGATTCTCATACCCCGTGTACAATAGGCAGGGTCCTTTATTCCATTTTAAATTTAACCAGCTCATAAGACGCCTTTAATCATTACACTACTTCACCGACTAATCTAAAAGAGCAACCTGACCCGGCACTATATATTTATAAGATATAGAACAGGGAAGAATTGCAAACATAATTCAGTAATAATAGGCGACTATGGAAAACGTGCTTATGCCGAGAACAAATTTTCGATTTGATGGAAACAAAAATTTTGAAATAGAACCTTTTTATTAAATGACAATCCATCCTCCCCGTCGCTATCTACTACATCCGTATCAGTAGTGTTGAGGTTCGAATATTTGTGCTTGGAAAAGAAATCCATCGAACCGTATGAGACGAAAACTTTTTAAAATTCAAACGCGTTAAATGCAAATTCAGGTCAAACTACACGTATGTGCAATTTTATAATTATTTATTAAATTTGTATTAACTTATTCAATTTTTATGAGGGATGTTCATTTAATAGTTTTATTTAAAATACTGAAAAAACAATTTTTTACAATTATAATTCACCAATAAAATAAATGTTATATTTTACTAATGGTAAGACCATGGATATATATATATGGTAAAACCGTAATACATTTTCTATGTACTTTGTGTTGTTGTTGTTGTTGTAACCGTAATTTATACATATATTAAGACGAGGGATCGTTGTAAATAACATCGTCCACGCGCTAACAAATTATGGCTGACTCGGTCGAAAACACGAATGCTTCGTCCGCTAATTTGCCGTCAACTGACGAACAGGATGACACTCTCTTTAATGAATTTTATTCAGAGGTTGGTCTGGCGCTAATCATTTTAATAATTTTTTTGATTGTTCATTTTCAACATCACAACACCAACAGAGCACTCAACAGTTAATTAATAATTAACTCAGAATTTATATTTAATTTTGTTTTTAATTAATTTTATAAGTGACTAATTAATTAGCTAAACTTAAAGTTTGAAAAATTAGATACAATTTATTTATTTTGTTACTATTTAAAAGTATTTATTCACTAAATAGTAATAAGTGTAAATGTAAACTTTACATTGTAAAGTAAACTAATGTTTTGTTTTCAGAATTAAAATTAAGCAATTTAGTAAATTAAAAAGTTCTCTCAGATTCAACTTTATAAAATTTATTAATTAATTTTTAAAGTAATTACTATTTTATTTTTTTATTTTAAAATCATTTGGTTATGTTTTTTGATTAATTAATAAGCTAATTGATCATTGGTATGTTGGTAGAAGTTTCATGTCTTGTACTACTAACCAATTACACAATGGCATGGTTTGAATACTGTCTGTCCAAAACTCGAGAACCATTATATTATGTGTGTTTTGTTATGCAGTGCTTGCATGTACCTGTACATACAGGATGTGTATGTGCGTCGTGTGTGTATATACTATATAGTACAGCCTTTGTAGCACAAAAGTATAATAATAAGTATAGCTTAAAAGTTAAAATAACTGCCTCTGACAGAGCTGCATTATAGAATATAAAAAAAAGTTAATGACCGCTAACCAACTAACATGATTTTTTCAAATATTGAATGTAGTTGTAATGTGATGAATAATTTATAAAAAAAAAATAATTGCTATAAGTACATAAAATAATATTTTCACCTGAAAACACATTGATCTTCATAATTTATAACTGCTTAGGTAAAAGAAATTGAGAAACGCGATTCAGTTCTGACCTCAAAACAACAAATTGATCGTTTAACAAGACCAGGAGCAACATATTTTAATCTCAATCCTTTTGAGGTTATTCTTGTATTTGTTGTTATTTAATTTGATGTTCTCAAACTAGCAAATTTACTTATTTTTGTTTTATATTATAAATTGTTTTATATTAAAAGGTATTACAAGTTGATCCAGAAACTCCATTAAACGAAATTAAACAGAAATATAGAAGGGTTTGTGAATTTTTTTAAACAAAGTTTTTCTAATTTATTTTTTCCATATATCAATTAAAATCTTTTTTCAGATGTCGATTTTGGTGCATCCTGACAAAAATTTGGAAGATTTGGAAAGAGCTCAAAAATCATTTGAAGGTTGATTATTTTTTGGAATAAACTGTTTTTCATTTTAAAATCTAAGTCGGCTTATTTAAATTGGGTTTGAATGATGATAAATGAGAATGTTAAAAACTGAGCACAAGTAAATTTTAAATTTTTATTTATTGAAAGATTTGTTATCTACTAAATTCAGTTGCAGGAACAAAATTAAGTGTATATTCATTTTTTGATGTGACATTACGAGTGAAATAACATTTCAAAATATTATTTATCTAAAAAATTGACAGAGCTAATTACAAAATAAACATTTAATGACTTGCCCAATTTTAATAGAACATTTTCTAGGCAAGCCCTCAATAAGGGCTCTTATTTTTGTTTTTTTCATTTCCATTTCAGTGTATTCAACAAAACGGTTTTCAGAGACATGCTTAATTTGGTTGGTTTGAGAAAATTTATAAGATAAATAATTTTAAAATCAAATGAAACATTGATACCTCTAATGTTCTTCAGTTATTTTATTGAACAGCTGTTAATAAAGCCTACAAAACTCTCGAGAATGAGGAAGGATTCAAAAGATGCAAAGAGATTGTTGATGAGGCCAAGAACAGAGTTGATGAAGAGGTAGTTTCCACAAAATTTTTTCATTTGTCCACATTCAACACTCTAAACTATCCTTCACTCTTTTAGGTTAAAAATCGCAAGAAGCAATTGAAAAAAGATGGAAAACCTGTGGATGTCCCAGAGGATGATCCTGAAAAAGTTAGTGACAATGAGGAAAGAAATTCTTTTTCATATTTCACAATTTTTATGACTTAATTATGGTTTTTATCTTAGTAAATAAATTAACTCACGATTTTTGGTGGCGTGCATGCATAATTGATTTCTAACCTCTTTAATATTTACGGATTATATTTCAACACAGTACAAGCACTCAGTATATGTACAGACATGTAAATTGTTTGCTGACTTGGAACGTTTGCGCCAGGAAAGAGAAATGAAAGATGCTCATGAAAAGTAAATATGTCTCCATCGTTTGTGCCTGTTGAATTTTTTCAAAAAATTTGTAATTTAATTTGTGAATGTTAATGAGAACAAAACAAATCGAAATATTTAACCTCTCATTTAATCTTCTCTGATTCCATACATCTGTTTAGTGCGATGTTATTTATACATTACTACCCATTTGTAACTATTTGCTTTTTAAAGTAGGTGATGGGAGAATATATATTTACTCCTTTATTTATTCAGTTATTCATTTACATTAAACAATTATAACCGACGCTTTTTTAAAGAAAAAGAAAAGCGCAGGAAGAGCATGAAGAAGCAGAACAAAAGAAGCTGAAAGCTGAGTGGAACAAAAATTACGAGGTTCTTAGAAATTTTCATTTGCGTAATTGGCTTTTTATTGCTGATGTTACTGTGCCACTAAATTTAAAATAAAATTGTCTAAATTAAATGAAATCAGGAAAGTAGAACACAACGAATCGATAGTTGGAGAGGTTGGAAGCAATCAGGCAAAAAGCCGAAGGGAGTCTTCAAGCCACCAAAGCCAAAAATGGAACACAGATAAACGCATATTTAGCGTTGTGATAGGACAAATTTTATCAATAAAACAAGTGTACTGTATATATTACTTCAATGTTTGTATAATAAAGTGACTGATTTGGAAGTTTTATCGCGTTTGTTCATTTATTCCTGTTATTTATAAACTTGGGAAATTTTCATTTTCTTGAAATGTGAAACTTCCAAACAAGATTTTGATTCATGAAATATGACATAGCAATTCTTGTTTAATGGCATAATTCAAGAATTTCTAATTCTGTTGTACGTGGTGTACAGTGTACACCTGTTAGATTTTCGTTATTAGATGGAAAGCCAACCCAAGACATTCAGGTATCCAAAAGTTTGCAGTATTCAAATGATTTAAAATCTGTGCTGTATTTGCTATAAAATGTATTGCATGAATATAGCTTTACATTAAAACAATTAACAAATTAAAGATACAATGAAAAGATCCAATGGAGTATCACATACTGACAATTGTTACCTAAGCAGAAATTAAGAAATGAACATTCCAACTAGAATTCAAAATATTGGATGTGAAATATGTTCACAACAGCCTAGAATAAATAAAAATCTTACGTTCGAACATGACTTTAAAAGCTTTGAAAAGTTTAAGAAAAACTTAAATCAAATTAGTGACCGTAAACGCATTTAAAAATCAATATTTAAGATTGTTGAAACATTAAGTTGAGATAACTTTTATTTTATCTCACTAAACGTGTTCATTAAATTTTATCAGAGTGGCAGGTTGTAAAACGTATCAACGGACACAATTATCTTGTTAGGTTTTAATGTACAAATGCCAGAGAATGATATATAAAATAAACGATAAATAGTAAAGAAATTGTGAGGTTAACAGTTTTATAAAGTGCTTCTTTGCCTCTCTTCCATACTGCTGGACCCTGTAGTTGAGTCATCATAATCTGCAGACGATAACGAAGCTTGGGATGATGATGAAGATAAATCTTTTCTCACATAAAGTGGTTGCTGGTTGTTTTTGATGACATCTTCAGTTATGATAACTTCGATGATATCTGATCCTGGAACTTCAAACATTGTGTCCAACAAAATATTTTCCTGTTAGCAAATTATTAATTTGTCAACATTTCACGAATTATTTTTAAATTAACAAAGTTCTGAAATAGTAGAAAGAATCCTATCTTTCATTGAGCGATATGCTAAAATGCGCATAAACCAACATCTTTTAAGATGTTGAGATCTTTAAAACTGCACAAATTCCCGACTGCATTTATTATAAAAAATGAAATTGGAAGAAATCAATGTAGCAGACCATGATAGCTCTCAACCCTCTAGCTCCAGTTTTCCTCTCCATTGCTTGTTTGGCAATTGCTTCCAGTGCATCTTGCTTGAATTCCAGGTTGACCTGTGTCAGATGAATATGTTAATAGTTATTAAATTGAGTTTTATGTCCATCAATTGCCCCACGCATACATTGTAGTAAGAATAAGTAAAGTTAAAATTGACACATGCCTTGTCCATATTGAAAAGCATTTTGTACTGTGAAACCAGGGCATTTTTGGGTTCAACTAATATACGCATGAGCATAGTTTCATTCAAGGAGTGGAAAGGAACCACAACTGGAAACCTTCCAACAAATTCAGGAATCAAACCAAACTCAACAAGATCACGAGCTTCAACTTGTTTGGTCAGTGCATCTTTCTCGGCCTGGTCATCTTTTGTATTTTCACATTCTCTGTAAGACTTCAAATCTCTTTGCACTGCTGCTCTGCGACCTTCCTTGTTGTCGCTTGTGGAGTCGAAACCCAAGAACTATCAAAAATAAATTACATTTGGTGTATGTTTTATCTATTTTTTCTTTAGCGCTAAAAACGAAATAGTTTTATAAAATATGAAGTGAATGATTCAGAAACCTTTTCATGTTTGCGACGACTGATTATTCTATCCATGCCATTGAAAGCTCCAGATGCAACAAACAAGATGTTCGTTGTGTCAACTGCAACACTATCCCCTCGTAACTTTCGCGAATTACGTTCAGGTACATTGACAATCGTCCCTTCCAGCAACTTCAACATCCCCTGTCACAAGAAGCATACAAATGGCATTAGAGGCAATCGAACAAAAATATAAACAAACTGCTACTGTATTAAACCAACAAACATGTAAATTTTATAATTATTGTGCTACATTAGATCAACAATAAGAAGAAATAAGCAACGAATTATACAAAAGTTTGTTGAGTAACAGTTTCAAAAAGTTAGACTTGGCACATGAAGACAAGCTAATGTAAAGAAAACTAATAAGGATTTGTACACTAATATGAATCTTTATGATGCTATAAAAACACAAGTTCAAACGTCATTATATGAAATTCAACAATTGATAAACTTTATGATAATTATTTCAATTTAAAGAAACAATTATGTCCCAATTTTAATGAAAGCATAAACAATGACAATGTTTATTTTATTCTGAAAGGAAACCTTAATATACAGTGATAAATGGCAATTTTTAGATATTGAATCAAACAGTTATAAAAATAAGACTTAATTGTGATGGGCGCCTCTGACATTATTATTATTAATTAATCAATAAATAATTATAACGAAAATTTAATGGATGAATAAATAAAATAATTATCTGAAGAGCCAACCTGTTGCACTCCTTCCCCACCCACATCTCTCAACTGATGAATTCCTGGCACACTGCCTATCTTATCAACTTCATCCAAAAACACGATTCCTGCCGAGCAAAAAATTGATGAATCATAATTACATAAATAAAAGCTACTAAGAAATTTATCTGATACCTACCTTGCTGAGCTTTTTCTACAACGAAATTTGCATCTTGTAATAACTTGGCAATAACTGATTCAATATCTTCTCCAACATAACCAGCCTGTGTCAAAGTTGTGCAGTCACAAATGGCAAATGGAACATCTAAACACCGGGCTAGCACTTGGGCTATAAAAGTCTTACCTGTCATATTGCAATATAAGGTGTTCTGAATGCAAGTAACGTTTTATGAGTTTAAAAAATACAAAAATTTACAAAAACCAATGATTATTTATTTTTATTATTTGTTAGCAGCAAGAACAGAAACGTGGCCAAGGTAAAGCTTTGTTGGGGTTAAAGTTAAATTTCACTAATTTTTATAAAAAATTTGACTGGAACCGTTGAAAAACTCCTTGACAGTAAAATTTGTCACAAATTATTGTTTTCAGTATGAAAACTCAATACAAAAACTTAGAATGAGCAAAAAAGTTGTAATTATTCTGTAAAAATATAAATCACAAAAGAACATTTATAGCAGAGCACTGAGCCAGACCAACCTGATCCTGTGGGACCAAGCATGAGTATGTTGCTTTTGTCCAATTTGATCTCATAATTTCCATTGTCCAGGACATCACTGTTATGTTTGTTGTCATCTTGTGGTTGTGACTGTTGTTGTTGTTGTTGTTGAGGGTGGTGAATGAGTGGGGGGTACGCCAGGGATGGTTGACTCCCAGGAGCTGCTGGTGCACTTGTGGATATTCCAGTTATTTGTAATAGATCAGCTGTCATAAAGATCATATTCATTTTTAAAGTAAAAAGAAAGCACAGTAAAATTATTTAAAATCAAATAATTGAGTATACATTAATTCCTATATCATAAAATTTACTAGTATAAAACAGTATTCACCTCTACCGGAAAAAACGTTAGACGGTAGATCACTATTTTTCCTGCCACTTTGTTGTGCTTGACTTGCAATGGCAGCTGACGTTGATGGTGGTATGTTGTGATATATACGCTTGTAATGATTATAAACAGCTACTGACAGGACCTTCTTGGCATGCTCCTGTCCAACTACAAATCTGTTCAGGTACTCATAGATCTGTCGTCACAAGAATTATTTTATGAAATTTGAATAAATAAAATGAAAGATAGGTGATGCAACAGACCATGAAAAGTAAAATTAAATACTTTTCTAGGGTGAGGGGGAAGTTTTCTGTCAGCAACATGGATGTCTTGTTCCTCTTTTTTAACTTTAGCTTCACTTTCTTGAATGACAGCAAAAAACCTTTTACATTTGTCACACTTTACAAATCTTGTGGCTTACAAAATTAAATGAAAGAGACTTTATTTACTGAAAACTAATTTAGTTGATTGCATTCTAAGTTGCACAGTTAAAAAAATATGTTCATGGTTACCAACATTTGAGTGTGATATAAGTCAATAAGATATAATAAACAAATTTATATCATAAGGAGTTTAGGTTCAATTTCATCAAAATTAAAAAAGGAAGAAAAGGAAAGTTACTGACAGACAAACATATCAACATGGGTACATATTTCTCCACAGTGTGGACAGATCCAGTTCTTATCACTGCCCCCTTTACCCTGTTTACCTCCTCCACTTCCTGCACCTACATCTCCTCCTCCTCCCGTGCCCACTCCACCAGGTGGGTTCTTCGAAAAAGTAGAGTCAGAATACTCAGCCTTGTTCACAAGATGAAATATTGCCAACCTTGGTTTGATTTGATTTCTCGTTAAAAAATTTTGGCCTACAGCAATGCTGCCACCTAAAAAATTAAAAATGAATGATCATCATTATGAACGTAATATACAAGCAACTGGTAAAATAAAAATGTGAGTAAAAAAGAAATAGCAAATGTTGACAATTTAAACTTGATCTGGATTGAAAAAATTTAGTTAATTATAAATATCTACTATGGACTCTATTTAAATTCTTTTTATAAGCAAATTTAATTAAGAAATAATATTTATAAAATTTAATTTAAAACTTTAAGTACTCTAACTTTTAAATCTAAGTCTATTTATTATTTTGGCTACCTAAATATCTACTTGCTTACCTATGTAATTATCTGCCTATACATTCTCTTGTCTACCAATTCTTCTGTCATTCCATTCATTCATTCATCCATCCATCAATCAATCCATTTATCCATCTATTAACCTAAACTATGCATATATCAGTTCGTTCGTCTGTCTATCTTTGTCTATCTACCTCTGATATATCTCTGTATATATCTTTGTATATCTTTCTATCTCTAACTTTCTCTGTCTAGTGTACCCTCTTATTTTATTTCATATAACTAGCAAATACTCTGCTTTCTGCTAATGAAAGCTAAAGCTATTATTTATTTTTTATTATAATAAATAATAATAATTCATAAATCCACAACTTTTCTAATTTAAATTTTAAAATAATAATTAAAAAATTTAAATGAATTTAGTATTCTAGTTTTAGCTTTACCATATTTTTTGAAACTGGCATAGCGACAATTTTTAATGTAGAGAATCCTCAACTGAAGTTTGAAACAGTTCGGCAGAGAAGCCATTTACGATTCAGATTCAACTTTCCGTAAGAGGACTCAGAGTAAAATCAATCGCAAATAATGAGTAAAAATATGTCGATTAAAATTTCATCTACGATAACAACATGAAAGACGACCTGATGGGGTGTTCAACTTTGCAAAACTGAAATAATTATTCTATCTCTATGAATTCTATGGATATAATATAATTTATCATTGGTATATATATCCATGATAAATTCCCAGTATATGGATGAAGTGACTTGATATGCCTGAAAATAAACAACCTCGAATTTAAATCAATTACTCTGTTTTGTTCAAACCGTTAATATAACAGTTTTGTTTAATATAATTGTTCCTATATCAGGATAACAATTTTAATCCGCAATTATATGTACTATACGTATGTTAGCAGTCTATTACGTTTATCTATGTGGTGAATACTATCTAGTATACATAATGAAGTCAACTGTCCAACCAGGATAAACCGTTGTATTATATTATTTATGCACTGTTAAATACATTAGCTAGCGGGCACATCTATGGTATCAGTACAACATACAAAATACGTACAAAAAACGTTTGACATGTTGCAAACTTGTCACCATTGTATTTGCCTAGCTAACGTGACGACTACGCTCTGGTTTGTTCAATGCTTCACAAAATTGACGGATGACTCGTTAATAGACTGGTTACATGCCACAGCTTTGTTTTTGAGAGCCCCATTCAAACAATATTACATGTAGACAGAGAACTGTAACGGTTAAAATTTAATGAATGGCAAAAACCTTGAAATTACGGACACTTTCGTAAAAGTTGTCACACATTATTTATCTTTTTGATATGATACATTACTCAAATATGAAAATATTAAATGTTGATTAAATTTATCAATTATAACTTGAGTTAAAATTTATATAAAGATATCATATTTCTTAAAATTCAATCAATTAATAAAACAGAAACAATACAACAAAAAAATATATAACGATATGATTGCTTAAACATGATTTTTGTCAAACAAAAAGCGTGCTGAATTTTGTAACCTTGAAAGATCAGACGTAATTGCATGATCAAAAGTGAAGAGATGTTTTATAATAAACTATGGAATGACTAGCTGAAGTTTTTATTAGATAATTTGTTCATTAAAGTAAGAGCTACGTGGAATTATACGAAATGCGTCCATGCCCATTATGTATAACAATGTTACACCTACTACAACGAATGATTATGTAACGCTAACTGGTATTTAAATTTGCCACGATGAAGACTGCGAGTAGAGTAATGCGTCAAGTTATAAAACAAAACGGAGATAAGAAACTTACGAAAGTATAAAACACAGAAAACAAAAGGAGTTAACATACAAGACAGAAATAAAAACAACGTACAAGATGAAAATTAAAAAATTCTCTGAACTCTAAAAAGCTGCTCAACTAATGCTTAAATAGCCGTACGAAGAATATCACGACAACGACGACAAACACGTAAATGACGCTATACGTACAGGCACAAATTAGTTAATAAATTCAAAATTTTGAAAAAAAAATATAAACAACTTGAGATGCAAAAATATATGGTTTAAAAAAAAATAAAAAACGTGCAGCAACAGCAAGCAATTGAATCGCAATGAAAATTACATGAACATCAACTCTCAAGTTCCTTTTACATTACTTTCATTAAAATTAAATGCATTATCATTTCAATGGAATTCAACAAAAAAAAATTAAAATAAATTAATAAATGAATAAATATAAATAAATATATATACACACATATACAGCATAATATGGGCGTATGAATTACATGGTTGTGAGTGGTGAGCAACATTAGCACGAACAAACGACGGCATTGAAAAGTTAAAGTTACAATTACGTACACACATGAGGAGGACGACATCACATTTAGGCTGCGTGTCTTTGCGCGCGCGTGCGTTTTTGATACAGTTTTTTTAAAACAAGTTTAGAAAAAATTAAAAAAAGTATTGTGGTAGAAATCAAACAATGGGCATCATTGAAATCTATTTGAAAATCTTTCTCTCTCTCTATAATGGGCATCATTGAAATCTATCTGAAAATCTCTCTCTCTCTCTCTCTCTCTCTCTCTATATATATATATATATATATATATATATTTTATATATATATATATATATATTTATATATTTATTTATCATGAAAAACTCAATGATGTTCTCAAAGATACAAAAAAGTTCCAAGTAATCAAAAAAGATCCCACTCCTCAACTAAAAACTAAACTAAACACAATAATTAAGAAAATAAAAAAGCACATCACTGACGACATTATAGAATATTGTAAAAAATAAAAATTATGGTCTATTACCAACACACACACACACACACACACACACACACACACACATATATATATATATATATATATATATATATTTGTGTGAGTGTAATGTTGAAAATACAATGAGAATACGTTAACCTTAAACGAAGAAAATGATAACAGTTGACAAGATTTTAAAGATTTCTAAATTTATTTGAAATTTTAATACAATAACGTCTATTTTGATTTAATATTTTGATGTTAGATATAAGCATATTTGTTTGTTACTTAATGCTGCTAGATATATGTAGGTACATGTAAGCCTACTATATGAAATTGAATTATTCGCACTCAATGTACAAATAATACAACGATGACGACGATGGGTGAACAGTAACAGATGACTGAAGTGATGACTTGACATCTGAATATCATATCATTAAACGATTGGAAAACGTACGTTAAAGTTGCACGACATAGAAAGCATCTCTAGAGTTTATTTACAGTATGTGACTATAGTAAACAAACGTCACGAGTTTATGAAAAAGGTTATTAAAATAAATTATTTAAATAACTCTCCATTTATTTGAGAAATGACTTTGTTTTTACTAAATACTTGTAATCTTAATGCAATAAAATGAAACAATACTTACGGAAAACAACTTATATATCTCGCTGAACAAATACTGAAAAACAAGGGCAAGGTGACAATCATGCTTGCATAACAACAATGTAAGGAGACCTGTGCAGCGTGATACACAATGTACAAACAATTCTAATCAAAGCCAACGGAAATTTTAAACTGAAAATTGAAATCTCTTTTTTAAAGTAGCTCAACTTGATAAAATTGACTTTCGAATTTGCAAATAAGAATAATAATAATGAAAACATATTATAAACAATTTACCCATAAAAAAAGTAGAAACAACGTAAAAAAAAGTGACATTCAGTAACAAGGAATAACAGATTTTTTTACTGATTGAAATCTCACTGAAACATGGAAAAGTGAAAACAAAACAGAAACTTTCCCAAACAATCAGATGACCAAAGTGACCGTATTCCAACTCGCCAATGCTATGTGAGTACTTACTGCTGCATGACAACATTGTTTTGGTAGTCCACGAGTTCATCTAATTCACTGTGCGACGAATCATTCGACTGAAAATTTTAAATAGTTAATGCTGGAACGTTAACACATTGTAATGAGAATATATAGATTTTACAAGAATGCAATGATTAACATAATCAGATGACAATGAAGAAATCAAAATTCATCACCATTATTTTTTTTAAAAAAAAAAAGAAATCACTTTCATAACCACAAGAGTGAATTTGGTTAACTTCTCCCAATCTAAAGCAGTATCTTCATAACTTTACAACATTAAAACTTCATTGCCCCCCAGCTCAGGAAATGTTTTTCTAATATGGTAGAAACCATTTTTTTTATAACTTACATTATTTACCTTTAAATGTTTTCATTTAATGTTCATAACACTTTTTCCAGATTTTTACATCACAAAGAATGTGCAAAATCAAATAGAAAAAATGGATGAGAGATTTAATGAAAGAATCTTAACCAAGATCTACCTATCATATGATCTCATTCATGAATTTAATAAAACAATTCATATTTACTTCTGCAACCGCCATCCTGTTACGCTTGGGAATGCTGTTGTTGTTGTTATCACTGATAGCCTCGCCGTTGTTGTGGCTGTTGTTGTCATTATCGTTGATGAAATAATTGCTGTTCATGTTTAGAACTTTCCTCTTCATCAGCTGAATGTTGTTCTCCTTCTCACTCAGACCATCCGATGTTGAGCTGATGAACATCTCCAGGTTGCAGTTGTCCGAGTTGATGGATGATGTCGAGTTCTCCATGAGGTTCATGCATGACGTCATCAAGCAGATCTGTTCATTCGTTTGTTTGTTCGTTTTTTCGTTTGTTCATTCGTTCATTCATATGCTCATTAAGAAATCAAAACATCAACGAACATAGCTTTACACAAAAGATCTTAATTTAATCTAATGCCACATTCATCTCATAAAGGCATGAAATAAAAAAGTTGAAAAAACTGAAACTGAGAGAACGTTTTATTGTCAACTAACATTGTTGTTCATCTCGTCAACACAGTGGTGAGATGTCCTTGAATTACCATGATCACTGTTCCCCATGCATTTGTTGCAAGAGTGCTTCAAGTTGTTATTGTTATCACTGTCGACATCGTTTTCACTATTATTATTAAATTCACTATCGTTGTTGGTGTTATTGTTATTATTATTATTATTAACGTTGTTATTAATGTTTTTGGAAAAGAGCATTCTATTTCCCTTGTTTTTGGATCTGTAATCTTTTCTGTTTTTCTTAACGACATTATCATCATCATCAGTTGTCTTCCCATCACTCCAGTGCACGAAATGATGATGAGGCTGTTGATATTGAGGAAGTGTTGACGTTGAAGATGATGTTGGTAATTTATTATGATTGTTGTTGTTGTTATTGTTATTATTAGAGTTATTATCATTATCATTATTAGAGTTACTGTTGTTTTCTGAATTTACAATAGCTGCATCATTAGTTAATGAATTTGTGTTGGTGTTGTTGCTTTGACTCGTTCGGTTAGTCTTATTGTTATTTTTAACAATAGATTTTTTAGGCGAAAAGTGCAATGTATAATAATTTGAACTATTTAATTTCTTTGATAATTTTTTTGATGTTTTCTCTTGTTTAGTAGGGTTGATTTTGTTGCTTATATTCGTGTTATTGTTTTTATTCAAATGATTAGTGGTAGTTGTTGTTGTTGTAGTAGTAAGAGTAGTGGCTCTAGCAATGGTAGTGCCTATAGAATCATCAACATTGTCATTAACATGATCATTGTTATAAAGCTGCTTATTTCTCCTTAAATTATTTTTACATGCAAGTTGTTCACTATTATTATTATTATTATTATTTATTGTCTGGTTAGCTTGTTGATAAACCATTGATGACAAAGAGGAGGAAGATGATGATGGTATTGGCTCCATAGCTCTTGTTTCTGACTTTGCAACAAATCTCGTCGACTTCTTGGTACTCAACTCATTTTTTCTGTTTTTGTTGTTAAATAGTCATATAAATAAACTGTTGTTTATGATAATTTGTTCGAGAAACTCTTACAAACATAACGTAATTACAAGGGCATTGAGTATATACTCAAAGGGTTAAACAAAACTGATGCTCTTTATCAATACATTTCAAAAATTAAGCAGAATTTAATTATTTCCTCAGTTTCTAGGCAGCTAAAGGATCAACTGATCAGCTAATTAGTCAATTAGCTAATCAATAAATTAAGTAATTAATCAAACAATCAATCAATCAATCAATCGATCAATCAATCAATCAATCGACCGATCAATCAATCAATCAATCAATCAATCAATCAATCAATCAATCAATCAATCAATCAATCAATCAATCAATCAATCAATCAATCAATCAATCAATCAATCATTCAATCAATCAATCAATCAATGTTTGACGTGAGTACTAACAAATTGCAATCGAGCATTTGTTGAGCTTTGATGATGGGCTTCATGATGCTGACAGGTCGTCTGGGAGAGTTCTGATCAATCTCCCTCCTGTAGTTAACAACCAACAATGAGCCAGCCTCTCATGTGTGTAGAGGCGTAATATTTCAAGATAATAAATTGTAATGTTCCTCAGTTATTCAGTTAGAGATATGTTGCAATGTAGTAACAACTTCTTATGACTTACTTCAATTTAGAAAAATAAAATGCTGCAAATAATAACATCTTGAACTTTCTAGCGGAGTGTTGGAGTCAGAAATTTTTGCCAAAGTCGGAATTTTATACAGTAATTTTATTAAGATAAACAATTATATTAATTGATTTTAAGTGTTTTTTTTAAGTATTTTTCATTTATTAGTGATATGTAAGTAAAATTATGATGCAGAAACTGAAAATTTTTTCTGAAAGTCGAAAAGTAGGAAGTTTTAATGGCCGGAGTAGCAGTTGGATATTTTTCATCCAAATCTGATACTCTACTTTCTAATGAAAATTTATCTGACAGTCATCTAATAAAGCACTAAACATTCATCCAACAATCAACGAATCGTTGCACATATCATTTGACAAATCAACAGAAAATTAATTATTCATAAAATATCAAATAATAATCAGCCATAACAACAAATTAATAAATAATTCATCAGTGAACGAATGAACAAACAAACATGAACAAAAAACAATGAACAAGTAAACGAATAAACAAGTGAGCAGAAAATGACCTGATAAGTTCTTGTTCTCTCTTCTCTAGTTGGAGCATGCAGTTGGTCAGTTCAACGTACAAGTTGTTGGCTCGCTGAAGTTTGCGCTCATAATGTTCTCTCACGTCCTGGGCATGTCTGCATTAGTTTCAAAATAAGTTCATAAAGAGTGCAGTCAAACATACAAACAACTTACATTCATTTACAAGTTACTCTGTTACATTTTCTAAGCGGTTCATTGTTCAGTCGGTTCCAGAAAATATTCAGTAGAACAAAACTTTTTACATAGCATAAAGCAGTAAAGGAGATGAAACAATAAAGGATATGATATTTTGCAGTCAAACAGCAGTATGATGAATTTAATAATTGTTCTTTCCAACACCACCAAATAAAATGACACCACCTACAAACAAACAAACAGACAGACTACAAGAAGCACCAACCCACCCAACCCACCTCAGTTCTGCTTTCCTCTTTGAAACGAGAACTTCTTCATTGTTCTGGTAGGTAGGACTGTTCGTCTGCATTATAGACATCAATTCATCTACTTCCTTCTTCCAAGATGTCTGTGTGCAGTTGAGGTCATTAAAATCATTTTATTTTTGAAATAATGTTCAAGATTGTAATGATAAAATATGGTGTAGTGATATGATGATGAAATGAAATTGAATTAGCAAATACATGAGAACGAAAAATCGATGAGATGATTAGTTGACGGGCAATGAAAAGATTGACATGTGAATACTTGTAGTGCATAAAATTCGGTTGTTGGAATGCTGAGCCAATCAGTTAATGCAATCTCCAAATGGATGAGGATCTGCTGGAAGGATGGACGATTGTGTGGCTTGGGACTCCTGCAGAAATTGAAGTTACACCGATGAATTAATGAATGCTTATAATTCATGATTGAAATTATCCATATTTATAAAAAATGAAAACAAAACAACAAAACAGTTACCATCAATTTTGACATCAACAACAACTTTTAGGGCAATTTAATTGTTTGATCAGCTGTAAAATCTAATGAAAAGAAGCTGAATCAATCAAAATGACTAGCCAGCACATGTTGAGCAACAACTTCAATCCTTCAGGGCATTTGCTGGGCAGTGGAAGATGGAGACTGTTGCTACCCACTCCCCAGATTATGGCGGATGAGTCAACATTCTTGTATGGTGTTTCGTGGGTTATCAACTCCCACAGTACCACGCCATAGGACCTGTAGGAAAAATAGTTAAAATATAAAATATATACCCGAAAATTCTCAACAACACCAGTCCACTGCAGAAGTTTATAAAAAGTACCAACAAGCTGCAAGAAAAAAAAATGAAACAACAAAAATTTGAAAAACATCAAATTATTATAGAAATAAAGATCTTTTCTTCACCAGATATCAATTTTTTCCGAGCACGATTCATTCCTGATGACTTCGGGAGCCATCCAGGCCACTGTGCCAGCAAACGACATCTTCACACTCCGCTCATCCATCTCACGACTCGTTCCAAAGTCTGATATGCGCACCACGTCATTGTATGTCAGTAAAATGCTGAACAGAACAAGGTGTAGTTGTAGTCAGAATAATTAGAAAGTTTATTTAATGGTACTGGAGAGCCATTGAAAAATGTTAATTTCAAAATCAGTTACAACAATTGTTAGAAAAGTTGAATAAAAAAAACATCATACAAATGAAAAGATGAAGCTTTATAAATTTGCATTTGAAATGAACTAACTTAGGTGACTTCAAATCCCTATGAATGATTTTGTTTGTATGTAAATAATTCATGCCATTGGCAATCTGTTTCATCCAATCGTAGAGAAGAGATGGCGGGAGGTCAAGGTTGTTTTTGAGAATATCATAGAGTTGTCCATAAGGACAGTACTCCATGACGATGCAGTAGCATGGAGCCTGTGTGCAGACACCCCTAACAAACAAACGTGGAAAATAAAGCAAGAACAAAACAAAATGAAGGATCGTAAAAACAAATGATTAATGATATTACAATAAATTAGGAGAAAGTGAAACTAATAAATAAAATTGTCAAGCAGTTGGCAAGTCTTTTATTATTAAAATATAATAATAATAACAACAATAATAGTTATTATTTATATTTTTACTGTTGTTATTTGTATTATTAGTTATGGCTGAAAGCCAATTAAGACAACCTGAATGAGATGATATTAGGATGGTTAAGCAATCTCAAATGTCTGATGTCTGTTTCTTTCAGTGACAAAACCTTTTTGACAGCCACCATTTCTTGATCCAGTCTGCCCAGAAACACAGCTCCTTGAGTCCCACTTCCCAACCATTGCAGATCCTGAATGTTCTCAAATGCTATCTCCCAATTTCGTTCTGTAATTTGTTAATTAATATCAATTAATGATAAAGATATAAAACAAACTTCTATACCATAATGAAACAAAATGACATCCAAACTGTTGACATCATGAAAATAATTTATGAAATATTTCAACATAAATGACATGTTCTTCTAACAATCATCCAAATGAAACTAGAAAATATTTCTAATCATCTAAAATGACATGTTCTTCTAACAATCATCCAAATGAAACTAGAAAATATTTCTAATCATCAAAAAAGATCTGTTTTGTTTATAGGAACCTGGTTGTTTGAAATTGATAGAAGCACTTCGACTTATGAATGATATAACAGGCCTGAAACAACCAAACACCCCTTCCAAAAATCCTTTTGTGTTTCTGGTGCTAGCAAGTTGACCTTTCAAGAAAGGATTGTTTGGATATGGTGCTGAGGTGGTGAATGTTGTCAGTGATGGAGATGAAATCACTTTAACTTGAACCCCTTTGTTTTTGTCATTTAGTTGTACCAAGCTGAAAATAATAGATTAGATATAAAATAAAGTTTAATTTTTGTTTAATTATTAAACAAAGTTGATTATTCCTTGATTGAAAAAACAAATCAAACTTAATATACATCTAAAACACATTATCATTAATCAACTATTAACCTATTATAACCGCTGTTATCAGATGACATGGATCGACCAATGACAACATTTACTGAAGAGGGAATGTTTCTGCTGTCCAATGGTTCATCAAATTTTAATACTTTTTCATTTTTCTGTTCATTACAATACAACAAATCTGACGAGCCAACTAACTGGTTTGACTCACTTGGGATCACTTTAAATGGCTTATTATTATTATTATTATAGTTCTCCAGGGTCATTTTTAATTTCTGAAATATGGAAACAACATAATAAAATAAATGTTTCATTATATTATATTATAATTATTACATTTGAGTGATTGGCCTCTAAACTAAATCTAATCATTGGTTCAACGTTCAGTTTAATTTAATATTAATGTGTATTAAGTAATTGATTGGCCTATATAAAAAGTCTAAATATCTTATCTAAGAAGTCTAATCATTGGTTCAAAGTTTCTACTAGTTAAAAATTTAATTTTATTTAATTAATTTTTATTTATTAAATCAAATTTAATAGTTTTTAGCTCTTGCTAACTTCGTTTGTGCCCACACTGAAACTGCTTGAATTTTGATTCAATAAATTCGATATTTTAGCAAAAACACATTATTAAAATTTAAAAGTCTAACATTGAAAATTTCCAACAAAAGGGTGAAAAAATTAAAACTGAAAAGTACAAAGCAAACTCAGATCATCATCTCACTATATTATCGTGCCATGTAAACAACAGGGAGTGGAGTGAACGAGATAGGAGAGAGGAAGGAGCATCACATCACATCACAGGCCGACCCACTGCTTGCCGTGCGCTGATTCACGGCATGAATTTTTAATTATCCCAACAAGCTCAGCTGCAGCAACAAAGACAAACAATCGAAAAAAACATGTATGCCATTTATTATTTGTTTATTGAACTAATCTAAGTTGATCGTTTGTTATTCTTAAATAACTTTACGTCTAATGAAGTTATTAGGAATAATTTATCATTTATCACGGAATTTGAAAATTGGAATTGAGCCGATGTTGAATGGAAAGCATTGTAATAGTAGCCCGGGTAACTGGCCAGGTTGCTTTCTCCTTGCTGCGCCACTGTTAAACAGTTTCAACGATATAAAAACTGTGAAAGCTAGAAGAACTAGAAAGATTATTATCTGCTCATTATTAATTAGGATTGAAGAGCAAAGCATAACGTTAATAAAATTTTATACCAAGATCATGACTAGGGGCTCAAAAAGTATGGCTTGCGATTGAAAGATGCCATAATTAGATGCCATAAAAAGGTCGAAGTTAAATTTCTTAAAGTCATAAGATCCACAAGATTGAGGGATCCTAGAAACGTTTTGGTTTTGGGTCTTCCTGATATCAAAATTCATAGACACTTGTCCTACTAGACCATTCGTTAATCCGAACTCGACCGCATTATATATAATTACCTACAATCAATACTTATTTGCAACTTATGATATGTACAACTTCATAACAGGTATAGTTGGCGAGTTAGCTCAGTCGGTGAAAAATACCAGGTTTCATGTTATTACGTGATGGTTTGGCTCGACAGATACTTAAAGACTGAGCAAATCATTCGGTTATGATACGCTGCTGGAGCGTGCATACATTTTGCATGAATGTCGTGTAGTGTGAATAGTAGAGTTTTTGTTACAAAAGTTTTGAAGTATAGAATGACTTGTGAGCAAACCAGCGTTTGGCAGAGCTACGTCTACATCATAAAGACATAAATTCTCTCTGTATAAAATGTAATAAATGTTTAACAATGCCTGCAATAAGAAAGAGAACCGGAGTAGAAAAATTTTTTCAATTTCAAAAGAAATATTTCTTTAATTATTGATCCGTCTACGTCAAATGACCCCTGAAGTCCTACCACAGAAATTTAGACAGAAACCACCTTGTTCATTTGTTCATTGTATCTTAAAAATGTCGCTAGATGTTTTTATGTCGGTCTCCATGCAGTTAAGTTCAGTTTTCGTTACGATATATCAAATATATGCTACACATAAATAAAGAATAGTTATATAAAATAGAATATATAAACGAAAAATATTTATTAACGAATGCTTGTTAATTATTAGCTAAATGATTTTGCTTCCGCTGCTATTTTTTCTCGCTCTTGTCACATCATTAGTTGTTTGGTTTCTATTGGCAATTGTTACTAACACTGCCACTGGTTATTTATTTAAAAATTAAAACTAAAATTTTAATCTAATTAAAAAAATTAAATTGAATTAATAATATTAATGCTAATTATAAATTTAATTAATACAATTTTAGAATTTAATTTAAAATTTAATTAAAACTTTTTAAACTTAAATTTAGTTAGATTTAGTTAGCTGTTAGTGCGATGGCCTAGCTTAATTAGTAGTTGGTGTTGTTTTGAAGTGCATGTAGTGTAGTAGTAGTAGTGGTGTAGTGAAACTAATGATTAAATTAATTAATATTAATTAAATAACATGACAAAGCACAAAAGATCTCCTATCACAGTTACATGCTACACATTATATAATATATATATATATATATATATATATATATATATTGTGTTTAGACTATCATAAATATAAAATTATAAATACAATTATTTATAAAGATCAACTCAACTTGTAGTATTCAACTTGCATTATTCAACTTGTAGTTGCATTATGTAAAGTGTAATTAATGCGTTATGCACTCAACTACAAGTTCAATAATGCCGAAAACACAGTGATCTTAATAAATAATTGTATATATATATATATATATATATATCTGATTGAGCTTTTTAACATTTCTAACAGTAATTATGTAATTATTATCTAATTTATTAAAATTAATAAGAAAACCCTACAAACTACACTACTACAGCTACTCCCCTTTCACCCTATCCTACCAACAGTTTGCTTACTTACTGTACTGTCTACCTACTATAATGTGCTATGCACTGGCTTGTTTTTAGCCTTATATGCAAATTTTGAATTTTTGAATATGTTGTCAAAATCAAAACAACTGACAAGTATATATTATATAGTCACAGCTGTAGTTTGCCTTATTTTATTAGTTTCATATAAAATAAAACCTTTTCAGACTCTGATTAGATTCAGATAAGATTAGTTGAAAATAGTAGTATAATTTAAAAAAAATCATGTTATATCATAGCCATTAATTTTATATTAAATATAATCTAAACAGAGCCATTTGCACAGCCATTACGATGTTTAGCTGCTGTGTTCTTGCCAACTATATTGGTTTATTATGGGTTGAAAAAAAGAAGCCTTAGCTCTAGTGGGGCTCAAGTGGGTTAGTAAGACAAAAAACTTTAATTACAAAAAAATCTATCTATAATGATTTTAAGCAATTTCTTAAATTAATTGGTAATTAATTTTAATTTTGTGTTTTAACAAAATTGTTTTTCAAGGTTTTATTATAGGATTTGTAATGACTATTAGCAGCTTGAGCTTTTTTGCGTGTCTGTTTGTTTTCTTCATGCTTGGTTCCACAGTAACAAAGTGGAGATCAGGACAGAAATGCAAATTTGAAGAAAACTATAAAGAAGGTTTTTAAAATTAGTTTTTATATTTTATATAGATTTGTGTATCTTCTTGATATAGATTTGAATTTAATAATTAAATAAAATTCTTAAATGAACCTGCATCATAGTGCTGAAATTTGAGATTAATAAATGGTATATGTATGTTATTGCCTGTTATTTTTCTTTGATGCTGCAATATAGTTTTATTGTGAAGATGCAATACCTGTCCTGGTTATGACATTAAACTGACCCTCACTGCCTTGTGAGTGATGTTGGATCATCAAAGGCTAGGCCCACCGCTTATAACTGTGGTTGCGTAAGGAAGGGCATCCTGCGTAAAAATTAGCCAAATAAATTACATATGATGACAGAAGTGACAATGGTTTCATCATAGGTAGCCAAACGGAAACCCCCGATCTCGGGGAAAATGTCGTCTAAACGTGTGTTGCTGTTGTTGAAGATGCAATACATTTTATAATTCTAATCAATTAGTTATAATAATTTCACTTTGCATTTCTGTTCAATTTGTCAGGCATAAATGGCTTTAAATGAGCGCAATTTTTAAATTATGTGTAATTTCAGGTATTTAATTGTTTATAATCCCACTTTAATTATCTCCAACAGCGCTGATTTTCACAATTTTACTAATTCTGTCACCAGGTGGGCAAAGAAATTGGTTGCAAGTCATATGCAATGGAGGAGTGGCTGCACAACTCGCCATTCTCTACATGATAGATAACGGTTGTAGGGAGTTACCAATTGACTTTTCTAGGTTTTACTCTGCATCATGGCTATCCTGTGGCCTGGTTGGCGCTCTTGCCTGTTGCTGTGGAGACACTCTGGCATCTGAAATTGGATCTGTTGTTGGCAGCTCAAATCCAATATTGATCACAAATTTTAAGAGAGTGCATACTGGTAATTGTCAATGGTAAAACATAATTTTAATATTTTATTATAAATAATACATGTATATGTTTCCACCACAGGTACAAATGGTGCCATATCATTAGCTGGTACAGTAGCTAGTTTTTTGGGAGGGCTGCTCATTGGACTTACTTTTTATTTGACAAATCACATATTGGTGGATAGACAGTTACCAATGCATCCAATACAATGGCCAATAATAATTTTAGGCGGATTTGCAGGCCTTCTAGGTTCTCTGATTGATTCATTACTTGGTGCTACATTACAGTATTCAGGTGTGTTGTTTCATTTAAGAGCAATCATAATTAATAACAACACAGATTAAACTTTAATAGTGCTTATTTATACTGATTCTATTTTATTGAAATATGAATTTATTTAGGTTATTGTACACAACGCAAATTGATTGTTGGAAGCCCTGCAAGTAGTGTCGTCCATATATCTGGAATCCCATTACTAGACAATCATAATGTGAATCTTATTTCTTCATTCTTAACATCATTTGCTACTTCTTTCTTGGCTTATAATTGGTATCTGTATGACAAACAATAAACTGGAAATCTTTTTAGTATTCATTTATGTTCTGCAATCATTTTGTTTTGTTTAACAAATTAAATAAATAATTATGAAACTTGAGATTTTGCTTTCAAACATTTAAATTTTTAAAAATAGATGTAAGCTCGAAAATCAAGCAAAATTTGTTTTAGCTAATAAAAGCTGGAAAAATACAAAAATAAATTATATACATATGATACTGTCTTTCACAGTTATAGTTCAAGCACTGACTCCTAAATTGAAATTCTGAAATTCAGAAAGAAAATTACAGTGACAACTGAACCTGCAGCTGTTAAAACGAAAATGATTGTTCTTACACAATCGACTGCCATGTGGGTTTCACCGGAACAATATCAACAAAAGAAATCTAGTGGATCAACAATGGGAATAAAATATGTTAACGAAACAAGCACAAAAACATCAACGAATGAAATTTATTCGTTTGAGCATGGTAAACAACAATGAAACAATGATGACAATTAAACAAGGTTCAAGCCAAGTCTGCTTCAAGCTTCATTCAAGCTGTGTTTTTTGTTTTTTAACGAGATGATCATTCGATACGTTGATTGTGATTTCAATTTTATCGTTATCAATATTTCGCTTTTTAAGCGTCTTGTTTTTCAAATGTACTTTCATGTGGCGCGTTTTTTCATCACTCCTGGAAAACCTTCTTTCACAGAGATCACATCCATACGGTCGTTCACCTGTATGTGTTCGAGTGTGCGTTGTAAGATGGTCACTCCTGCTGAATGACCTCTGGCATACTTGGCATTGGAAAGGCTTGTGACCAGTGTGAATCCTAATGTGGCGGGTTAGTTCATCACTTCGTGAAAACTTTCTGTCACATGATTCTGCTGGACAGATGAATGGTCTTTCCCGATTTTCTGGTTTACTAGAACGGTTTACATACTTCCTCGGTTTGATCGGCAACAAGGTTATCTGATCACTAGAGTTGGCTGTCATGGTTGTTGCAGCAGTAGGATTGTTTTCATTGATAAGGAATGGTGATGTAGAACTACTTCTAACGTGTACATGAACTACTGGATCTAGTGGTTCTGTTTTGACATTTGCACAGTGCTTCACTTTTGTTATTTTACCTCCAGAAGTAGCTGAGATTGATGTGAATGTGATTGCTGGAGATAGTGGTTCTTCTTTGCAATCCTTCTTGGGAATGGTTGGTAACCCTGAAATTTGAAAAGAATTAGTTGAAAGTGGCTCTATACTCAGAGGGATGATATGGCACAAGGAGACTGGCTGCTGGTTTCTTGATTCTTGATCCTTAATTTCATTTGAACTTGAATGATTTGCAGGTGTGAGAAAGTTATTGACTTTTATGGTTTTTTCCGCATTAAATGCTGAGTTTGAATCAATGACAATTTGGGGATTTAAATTTTGAACGTTCAAATTGAGAGCTGTTGATTTTGATATACAAAACACATTGCATAAATCATTAAAATGTTTTAATGCTACAGCATTCTCTGCATTAAATGCTAGAGGCCAACCATCATTGGATGACATTTGTTCATTTGACAATTCGTTTTGACAACTTTCTATGAATGAATTTATTAAATCCAGATTCTCATTTTGAATACTTTCTTCATTTTTCTCAATTTCATCAGCAACATCTAAGAACTCTTTTGGTAGACTGATAGACATTCTTAGTAAATCATTAGCTGATGATTGTTGTGTTGAGCAGGCTGACTTTGAGTTGGATGTTGATGAGCAGAGTGAATCATTGTCTTGCTGGTCTGAAATTTTTTATGTAAGTGATTTTGATCTATTATTTATTCTATTATAAAATCAGGAGTATCTTCATTAAACTAACTTTTAATTTGAATTTAATTTGAATTAATAATTAAAAATTTAATTAAATTAACAGCAGTGACCAAGCAAAATTTTCAAAAATGTTTTGCAATCAAAATAAATAAAAATAGCGGAAATCAAATGACCGTTGTTTAGAATGAGAGATCTCGAGAAATCGAACTTGTCCAAGTTAGCTATGAGTGCGGGTGTGTTGAGGGCAGCTTCTCCGGGAGCCAAAAAATCAAAAAAGCCACTCCCGGCGATTAGAGGTGATGCAGTCGAAAAGCTGAAACCACCCAGAGCATCAAAACTTGGTGTTGTTAGTTTACCAATTGATGAACCGTTAATTTCCATAATCATTGTGTTTTGTTATGTTTCCGAATCGGTCGTTTTCAAACTTTAAAAGTTATAATATTAACAATGCAACAAGTTCGAACAAATAGGATTAGGAAATAATGTGTGGTTTAACAATTAAACTTATGTGCAACGGTGCTTTTCGTTAATTGTAAGTATTATAAAAATAACGACAAACGCACGAGACATTTAAAGAATTTTATGAATGAATCTTCATAGCCTCTTCTTATATATGAATGCAATCGGAAAAGGCGGAGTTACAGCTTCAGCTTGTCAATATAGCTTCTGCATTGACGTCAATGATGTTCGCGAGTAAAGTGGGTGCTATCTAAACAGCAACAAACAGAAATTATTTACTATTTCGTCAGATTATCTTTTATCATCCAACTGATGTTAATCGATCTTTTCGTTACTTTTGTAAAAATTTAACGGCATTAAATATGTTAAAAAAGAAGTTGTTATAGGAAACATGGAAGGTATGACGTAGAAACTTATCGATCAGAGCTTTATTCGGAATGATATATCTTCGTCACCGTTGCAAGAATTATGTTCATCGTGAAAGCGAGCCATGTTTTTATTTGCTAGTATAAATAGCCAGAGTTTGTGTTGACAAGCAAACATAATATTATACATATACATACAAACTATTGTACACACACACACATCTTAGGTTGTACGTACTTAACGATAAGATAGCTAGCTATATTGCACGCTATTTGCAGAGCACCTTTGAATGTAGTAATTAAACTATTATTATACTAAACATGCAGATGAGCGTAATACAACGATAACGTATTGAACAACAATTATGACATCTGTCAATTTTGATGTGAAATATTTTGAAACGCCAAATTTGTTCTTATGATTTTGTATCGACTACAAGTAACAAAATATTGAATGATTATGATTAAAATTTTATTGGAAACTCATTTATATACATACAAGCAAGTTTGAACAATATTTTAATCTATTAATCTGCTAATCCTCACCTGTTAGCATTGTAATGGCTTTAATGCAAAGTTTCGCAAGAAATGGATAATTGCTATTTAAGTACAACACATACAAATGCATGTATATATATATATATATATATATGTATATATATATATATATATATATACAATAATGCTTTATAATAATGACATGTTATTGTAACACACGTATTTTCCAATATAATTTGGTGTATTTTCCAATATATCAGTGCATGCAACAAATAATTTTACTATATATTTAAGTTTTTTCAGATTATAATATTTATTTAATAATTTTGTTAACTACCTATTACCTTCTAAAAATAATATTGTGAACATTATTTATTTCAGTTTCCTCCATTACACATACGTTTGAGCACGTATGTTATGTATGCTACATGTACTTAGAATACCAGTAACATGTGTAATCATTAAAATAATAGCATTGTTATGTAAACTCAATATTGTTAGTTGAAGGGTATTGCTCTACTTTGCTTACAACCTTTTTGCTTCAACTAGGTGCACAAATAGCGTTTTGTTTATAGATTTACAGATAAATAAATACATATTATGACAGAAATAAATAAACAAACAAACAAGGGGAACTATATTCGATCATGAGGCAAAAATTCCAATCATTACTACTTTATGATACAGATTATTTTAAACATTTGCGTTATGAGCCTGGCTCATTATAAAATAATTTGAATCTGGTTGTGTTAGCATGTACTCAATAGACAACTGAACTTGTTAATAAGTTTTATAATTATATTCTCTATTCTATTAGTAAACTCATTGGCTTGACGTCTGCCCATCACTTCCTATGGCATTGATTAAATTTTATTGTATTTGAGTTGAAACGTTAAACCATGTCCGTACAAGTATAATGTAGAATGTATTTTTAGGAAATCACTTTTTCAGCATTCTATGCTGGCTGCTAATTTACAAACTGACTTGACAGCTCAATTATCCGTTAATTATAACATAAGAAGCATTGCTGATCTATGAAATGTCGTGAAAGTTCTTAATACAGAAGCAGAATAAAGATGTACAAATGACTCAAATAATTTTGTTTTAAAACTAAACTATTTTTTGTACAATATTAATCTGAAGACTCATGTGATACATCTGATGTATGATTGACCGGATCCATGTAGACGTTGTAGCATCTTATTGACAGTAGTTTATTATTTAACTGGTTGTGTTGGACATGACTTGTTTATCTATAACATAAATTTATCAGAAACACTATTTGCAAATATATAAACACGTGCGTTATAGATTCTATGTGTATGAGTATGTGTGCACGTGTATGTGCGCGTGCGTATTGCTGTTAATATTTACAACAAATTATATGAAGTAAATAAATAAATTGTTACGAATAACTTGAGCAAATGTAATTGATTGCTGAAGTGGTCTGAAATATCATAAAAGAATTCACCGAGACCAACATGCTTGCAGGCACAAATACTTTGGCATGCATGTCGGAAACAAAAAATGTACAGTACACAGAGATTGATTCTATAAATATTCTCTTCTTAATTCCTTTGCTGTTCTATTTTGAAACCAGGTTGTTATTGTTTTGCCTACGTGATCCTTTCAAATCGTCATCAAGTTTATAGGTAATTGAATGATTGTTGAATGAAAATCTTTTAACGAAATTTGCGTCCTCTGGTTAGGTTACATACATGGAACGTTTCGTTTCTACAATAACAAATCTTGAAACTGTTGATGGTGATATTTAATATTTATAATTTGCAAAATTGTTCTAGAAGGACTTTTTAATGAAGGGATTTACAGACAATTTTTTCTGTTTTGTTTTTTTCTGTTTCCGATCATGAAAAGTTTAAATACACTTTTTCTTATTCCAACAGGTTTTTTTAATTGATCATGTTGGCGAGCGGAGTGGGGGATTTACACAAAACTTGGTGACCGATGGGGATATTATCACAAACTTATTCGAAAATTTTTCTGTGCTTACGGGGGGGTCAAAATTTTGACGGAGGGGATCAACTTTTTTGCTGATAGGCTTATAATACCAATTTTCCCTTCAAAAACACTCTTTTAAAAAAACGATTTTTACCATCTTTCAACACAAATAACGCACACAAGGGGGTTGGGCCAGTTCCTCCTTGTCTCCCCCTAGATCCGCGACTGGACTCAAGCTAACCACCAAACCGGCAAACCAACACTAAAAATTCAAAATATCCAACCAACAAAATGGTTGAACAATTTGCAAACTTGTATACTGGTTAAGGTAAATATTCTCGTCATAGCAGACTTGCAACTCACGATTTGCAACATCCATCCCTTTATAAAAGGCACACAAATTTATATACGTCCAAAAAAATTATTATAAATATTGATTAAATAATTAACTTATTATTTCGTGCTCGCTTATTCATACGTACGTACACACGCACGCATGCACACACATTATTTTGAGACTGCATGATTTGCAAGATTTGAGTCAACGTCCTATAAATACTTTTTTGTTTTTTGTTTTTGCTTATTTTTGCTTAGAATGTCACAAAAACATACTCCATTTAGCACGATTTATATTTTGGCACAAATGGAATACGATAAATCGAATGAACGTTTAGTTTACGATGAAGGCTGATGTTCTTTTTTTTTTTTTTTACAGAAAATACGCAAGCAAACAATCACCCAACATTCATTCTTTTCACATTCTCTTCATTTCTATTTTCTTGTTTTTTTTTCTTTTTAAACATTTTTTCAATTGAATTATTTTTTAGTCAATTTCTATTTAGTCAGTTATTTATATTCAATTTGCTTATTTAGTATAGCACAGGTGTTCTTCAACAGTCCCATATTATTTATTTGCATCACTTTAGTCAGCCTTATCTTTTTCTCCATCTACAACGCTCGAGTCACAGAGAGGAATACCGATATAAAGAGATACACACATGCAAACAGAAACACATGTGCAGACATACTTACATACATGCAAACAGAAACACATGTACTGACAGACAAACATGCAAACAGATATATACAGATGTATACAGTTAGAAGTGGAGTCCGAGTCAGAGACGGAGACAGAGACGTAGATGCGACGACAAAGACGCAAACTGAGTCTCATACTCTCAAGTACACATACATGCACAAGCGAATATGCAACTACAAATCTAGACAGAGATAGACACTTAAATGCAAACATGAAGATATAAGCACATATGTAGACAAAAAGTTCAGACCAGAGTACAATAAACAAGAATTTTTCATGAACTTATTCGAAGATATTTGAGAATAATTTTTGTGAAAGGTTTGCAATTAAGTAATAACACTTTTTTAATCGATTTATTTTATAAGACTTGTATAAGCTATTTATAAATTCTTGACCGCGTCTGTCGGCGCGTTATAATTGCATACTGTAGCATGTTAACGGGCAGATCGGAACATTAGTTTTTGTTAAAAGAAACAGATTAGCACATAGACAATAAAAACTCCCATCAACAAACAATACAAACTTTTGTAAATCATGCCCACACCTCTGCTCCACTTCTGTTAGTTCTGTTACATTATTTTTCCAAATTTTTTCATTCAAAAATTAATATATTTGCCTATTGAACATAAAAACGCAAGCATTCCTCGCGTAAACAAGCGTGCACTCACATATGCATAGAAATGAGCAAACAACAAAAAATAACACAATTCGGCAAAGGTACAAGCAGAGGGATATGGCGAGATGCATATGCAGAAGAAGACGAACAGATGAACCATGTATGTGGCCGTTGAAATCATGAATAGATGGAAATAACGAAGCAGAGTTGTATTTATAGCAACAGAAAGGCATCCAGCAAGCAAGCGGACCAACGTACGACGTACTGTTGCCAGCAGCTGAACACTGTGACGTCACTCTGACGTTAGAAAACGTCAACAAATAAGCAATAGAAAACTGCTGTCATGAAAAACAACGCAATAATTACATAAATAATAACACGAATAAGAAGAACGATGCAAATAATAATAAAGTAATAATGTCTAAAATTAATAACGATAATAAAATGAAGATGAGTAAGATGTGGTCAGGAAGAAAAATAGCGACAATGCAGTATGCGTGAGTGAGATATGATTATGTCAATCATATTAATGCCTTCCATTGAATAAAATACTTCAAACCCACTCAAGCTCTATCGTTTAGTTGTTCGATATGTCTTGCCAACCGATTTGACAAGATAAAAATGAGCGAAACAATTTACACTTAAAACAAATTTAGATTATTTACTGAAAAATATGAAAAAAACTTTTTCAAAGGAGCTGACGCAATTTAATCAGATAGTTTATTTGAAATATGTTATAGTTTTCATATTTTATCTGACATTTTGAGCAGCAAAAGGCAACGTTTGTCTAGTTAGCAACGGTCGGCGTTGGAGATTTTGCCGGATTCGGAATTTTTTGAAGGGTCGGAGTCAGATATTTTTCATGTGTTTAGCACTGACACTCACTGCTGAATTACTGATGTCTATGTGACAAATAACACGCCTGCGTTTGCTCACAACTCTCGGACGATCGATTGAAACATTTTTTTATCTTCTCTTCTATCAAAAAACAATTTATCATTTTCTAACTTTTAAAAATTAGTTCAAATATAAGTGTTATATTCGTCGTACTGGTTTATGCTTCAGAATGTTTCAATAACCACCAAGAACTAGAATTTTTAACTCTTGATTTAATTCACAAACGACCAAATCATGTTTATTTTTTTTTAATTTTATTTAATTTGAAAATAATAAAACACTAAAAAAAACAACGGCTGGTGTCATTTTTTAATTTTTTTTAATCAAATATTTCAAAACAATAAAACAAGTAGAAAAGCAAAAGTCATACAAAATTTAAATAATTAAACTAGAAAAAATTATAACGACGTAGCCAGCTGTTTGATGTGGAGTAATAAATTTCACCGTGAAAAAATAAATAAAAAAAAAATTTATAAAAAATATGTTTTCATCCCATAAATTCCATTCACAATAAACAACACATACAATACAACACGACGTACACGAACGATTAAAACAAAAGTTGTTTTTTGAATGTATTTTAAACAGGTGATCTGAAAGGTGTTTTTTTTGCTTGCAACAAAACGCTATTTGTAGGCCTATGTAACATCTCTCTCTCTCCTCTCTTGTCTCTTTCTCTCTTTCTCTTTTTTGCTTTGTGTATGTGTGTGATTGTGCAAAATGTTGTATCTGACTCGTTACGATACGAAAGAAACTGATAACGACCATAAAAACATATGTCCATTTTTTGTTGGAGAGCACCGATTAGTTTGTTCGTGATGTTTGGTAGGTCATGGTCACTAGTTGGTGGTGGTAGTTTTCTGTTGATGGTATGATAATGTTATTTGGCAAAATAAAAAAAAAGTCTGAATCGAATCGAATGTAAGCAATGATGGTGGTTTTAAATTATTTAAACTATCGAAGCTACTATGTTGAATTCAGTGAAATTCGTAACAATAAGATATAGAACGTATAAACGAAATTGTCATAAAACAACTGCCATTGTTTTTAAATGTAAAATTGCTTTTGAAATTAGTTAATTATAATTATAAAAATTCATTTTAAATTAGAATAGAATAAGATGAAATTGAATGAAATTAAGAATGAGGGTTTTGTTTGGATTCCAAGTGTAATTGATGTAAGGTTATGGCACGGGGTTAACATTAATAACGTTATTTCTGTGTGATGCTTCTATGTGGTTAACACTATAAATTATATAACAATTATTTTTGGTATTTGATTGTATGACATTAACATCGATATTTTCATTGAAGTTAATATGAGAAATTTTTGTCTGAAATTACAGTGACGATGATACAACACTGATGACGTCAATTACGTGGTGATAATAACGAACAGATTATAACACTGCGATGTCGCAATAGATAATTATGACGTCACGATGATGACATCACGTAGCTGCAGAGCAAAACAAGATGATCATCGTGTCACAATGTCGTATTCGATTGCATCGTACATATAAAATCTGTTTGTGTATGCGCGAATATGTGCATACACGTATATATATATATATATATATATATATATATATGTTGGTAATAGACCATATTTACAAATATACAATATGTATATAAATACATTTGTATTCAAATACATAAATGAATATATACATACATATGCAATATTTACACATGAATCATTTTATGAAGATGCTTACCTATCACATTCAGATGAATAAGCGAATTTTTTATGCTAATACTCCCGCGAAAAATAGCTGTATAGATGGTGAGATTGGTGCTTACGTATATATATATATATATATATATATATATATATATAAATAATATATATATATATATATAATATATATATATATAATATATATTAATTGTAAATTAGATGAATGACTGATATTAATATAATAGAGCAAAATATACATATTGTGCAACTAGATAAGCTTTTAGAGTAATGTTATTTATATAAAATCTTAATTTCATCGTTAATTTTTCATAGAAATATTTTTAAAGTTGCCACTATCGTCATTACATTTTTGGGTGTTGTTGTTAATGTAAGTGATGTTATTAATGAGCTGGTTTGGTGTATTAATGTTATTATTGTTGTTGAAATTGTTCTTGTATTGTTGATTGTTTGATGCGGCGAGGTTGTTCACCATGTAATTACACGTCGTTTTGTTCGGTGCGTCGTAATTGTCCTCTCGCTGAAGTTTCTTCGGGTTTGCGTGAGAGGATAATTTTTGGCCGGTTTTTTGGAGGTACCTGTTGTTGAGATTTTTTCCCAAATCATCGACCTCGTCATCGGTCTGAATGTGCAAGTTGTGGGTGTTGTCATCACGAGAGGTAATTTTTGGCACGTTGGAAATACTTGCCTTGCAGTGATCGTCATCAAAGCTGGATTTGTTAGATTTGTTGGGATGCGACGACAGCACGGAGAATGTTGCAGGTGGGTTGGGAAGGTCGATGGATAGGGACTTCTCACGGATGGCTTTCAACTGCGTCCTACGCTTAGAGTACAGAGATGTCGGTCGAGTTTTTGATCGGAGGGAATTCGATTTCAATCTATTGTTAATGCTGCTGTTGTTAATAATGTTGCAGTTGGTGATATTGTTGCTGTTTGACATGTTAGATGCTGGCAAATATTTGTGAAAAGCTGTTGTTCTTTGTTGAGAAATGTTAAATGGTCCCTGGTAATTTTTAAAGTTTGGAGTGTTGGGGTTTGAAAATCTCAGATTTGTCATGCAACTGTTAGCGATGTTACTTTTCAACAAATTACATTGGTTGAAGGAGTTGTTGTTTGCGTCGTCGTAAGTGCCACTATGTTTGTCCTCATCAGTCTCATCCCCTTCCTCATCTCTTACATTTTTATTTGAATTAGGAAGTGACAAAAATGAGTTAGGGTTATTTATTTGAATTTTATTGCAAACACTTTGTTGGTGTTGAGCAGTTTGTTGCAAGATATGTTGACGTTGAGATATGAAGTTGAAATATAGATCGTACGTGTTGCTGCCGTCATCTTCAACTGTTGTGACTGTCAGTTCAACATTTGAATTGTTTTCAGGTTGATGCTGCTGCTGCTTCTGCTGTTCTTGAAGTACTTGCTGCTGTTCATTAGGTTGTTGGTGATGCAATTTATTCTCTTCTTCTTCTAATATTTGGTGTGTAGGTGTGCTTCCATTTTTGTTCTCTTGCTTACAGTTTTGTGATGACTTAACTAACGAGGTATCTTCATTTTTCCTTGGCACTGCAAACAACGCAACATCTCCTGGACTTGAACAACGTTTCAATAAGTAGTTGTTGTTGCAAAATAAATTATTACCATTGTGATTATGTGTGTCGTCAAAATTCTTAAAATTTGGCGTTAAATGAAAGTTATCTTTGACGGCGTGTGCGTTCGAAACTGGTGAGTCGAGATCCTTGTGATAGAAAACAAATGTTATGTTGCTATTGCCGTTGCTGTCCATCAGATTGTTGATGTTGTTTGCACTGTTGATATTTGAGGATGATGACGACGACAACGGTGATGTTGCTGCTTGTTTTTGTTGGCTATTTTGTTGGCTATTTTGTTGAGAAATCTTTTTGAGATTCTCTCTATATTTTTCTTGGCTGCTTTGAAGCATGTGTAGCCACTGCATCTGTAAGTGTTATTATATTCATTACATAATAATACTGCAGCATTAAATTATTTTTCAAAAGTTTGATCTTCAGTTAAGTCTGATATGTATGGCTGGTTTTTTTATGTAGTTTAGATTTGTATGCGTTAATTAAATGTATATCTGATATTAAAATATTCTTGAATGTATGTTTGATGGTTGAGTTAAAAAGGTTTGTAGATACAATGTTTGATGATAGAAACCTTGGCAGGTTCCGAGTAGGCTTGCAATGTGTAGAGGGACAGGATCTGCTGGAATCTGCTGATCTGAACGATGACGAAGGCATGTTTCAAACTGTTCGCTAGGTGCCAGAGTTCATTTGGTAATGTAAATGTTTGGTGATAATTTCAATTGATAAATTTGAACTTTCAATTATTTTTGTCAGATTTTTTTTTTTTTAATATTTCCAACTCCAAATATCAAGTTACGTTAAACTTATTTTTAAACAAAAACAATTATTTGTAATATCATGAAATGGCGAAAGATGGAAATGTCATTTGAATGAGAGGATATTAAAAGATGGTGGATGGATAGTGTGGCTGAATTTATTAGTTGTAGCACCTGCGGCATCGGCTGTGCTAACGTTATGAACAGTGAAGCGGTCAAGGGCCAGTGGTTGTCGGTGCACGACGAAGGACAGTCCCTCCGTCTGCAAGTTTCGCGATAAATATGGGTTCAAGTTTTCAAGGTTGGTACTTCTCTGGTTTTGTTAAAAATCAATACGTCGTATGTTAATATTTATTTACATTTTTTATTTCAAAATTTACTTAAATTTTTTAATATTTTTAAACAAAATCTTGAAAAAGATAAATAAACATTGCTCAAACTAACTCAAGCAACAAAGTCAGAAAGAAAGTGGAAACTGAAAATGGACGAATTTCGAAAAACCCACACAATTAAAAATTATTAAATTATTTAATTAATTAATTAATATTATTTAGTCTATTAGTTAATTTATTTATCTAATTGGTTAATTAATTAACTATCTGTTTTTAATGAACTGAAATGTTAGAACCTTCCTCGGCGGCTTCTTGACTTTCGTGAGGAGGAGGATGTCGTCAAAAAGGAACAAGTACATGTCCGTCGTCTTTGAAGTCTCTACATTTTTATATTATTTAATTTAATTTAATAATTAATTAATTAATTAGTTAATGTTATTTAATTACTTGATAACATTTTATGCTGTTAGAAACATTTCCTTTAAAAAAAAATTATTGAATTGGAAAAATCAACACCCTGACAAAACAGATGAAATGATTTAATGTATTCCGTCATAAATATTGTAAAAGTATTTATAATTTAATATAACAAAATTATCTAAACTATATCCTTATGAAATTTCGACCATAACAAAAACAACAACACCATCAACACAAACTACACTAACAACATAGACATAAACGGCAGTAATAATAAAGTTTTCCACAAAGACATGACCAAACAAATTCACTAATCGACTGACCGACTGACCAACCCTAACCCTAACCAATCAACCATTCAAGAACCTGGACAAAAACAACCAACCCACCCATCAAAAGCATAGGCCCTTCATGAAGTAGCCTCCTTTTAGGATTGGTCAAGATTTTTTCACAAGGTTGCCTACTCAACATTGGTCGCAGAAACTGATGGTGATCCAATGTAATGATGAAATGTGATGATGATAGAATGTGATGGTGATTTAATGTGATGATGAAATGTGATGATGATAGAATGTGATGGTGATTTAATGTGATGATGAAATGTGATGATGATGGAATGTGCTGGTGATCTAATGTGATGATGAAATGTGACGATGATGATGTAAATGACAGGGGTCGGCATACTACGGCCCGCGGGACTCATGCGGCCCACGAAGCTCTTTTATGCGGCCCGCAAGGCATTGTTCGCTAAAAAAGATCATCAGCCAGACATTATGAGCAAAAAAGGAGTCACAAATCTCCAAAAAATTCTCCCCCGGGTCGAGAAAATTTGTTTTTTTTTTTAAGTACATATGCGGCTCTTCAAAGTTAAAAAAGTTCTCAATGCGGCCCTCAAAGCAAAAAGTTTGCCCACCCTTGATGTATGACGATATCATGAAGGTGATATATGATGATAAATTATTAAAAATTTATAAGAACGGTTTATGAACAGAAAAAATTATAAGCCTGGGACTAATTTTTAAAAGTGTTAATACTGTTTTTATATTTCTATAAAATTTTATATAAAAAGTGTTTTATTGTCATATAATGTTATAAACTGAATTTGATTAAAATTATTTAAAATTTCTAATATAAAGACACTTTAATTGAAATATATTTTTCAATAAAGTGCTATCAACGTGAAAATAGAGTATGTTTGAAATCCAATAGAGTAAGGTCCACCTCACAGTTCAAGTGATCAACACACAGCCACACAATAAATGAAATTCGCACAAAAGGTATTGAAACAAATAACCCCTACAATACAAGAAAATAGATATCTATAAAAAGTAATCAATAAAAATGAAGAAAGCACATATATAAGTAAATGTACAGTACAATTACAATACGTACAGTACACGTGTTCATATGCATGTGTACTGCACACACATACACATGCAGTATACACACGTACTTAAGTGTGTCTGTATATCTATTTGTCTGCGAAGTTTACTTCCCATGATATGATGATGCCGTTTTTAACAACCGATCAATTGCTTTATATAAGAGTATCGATGAACGCTCTCGCCCACACACTCTAACGCAAAGAAGCACACAAACATATATACATATGCACATTCTTCCTCATACATTTGCACACTTACCCACCTACACATGCACTTCACACACACATTTCTACAAAAACTTGCACAAACACTACACTCTTACATGCACGCACACAAAAGCGCACAAGTACAAGTAGAATCATATCAATATAAGTCAGTACAATAAGAACACACACACAAACAAACAAATGCACATGCACACACACTCACACACACATGTATGTAGATAAACATAAGTATGCATGAAACATTCAACTTTATTTTTAATAGTTAAATTAAATGAATCCTAGTTTGTATTAATAAAAGATATATAAAATTAATTTTTTTGTTTATTTTTACATCATGCTCCTTTAAAAAGCGGTTTAAAAAATTCAATTAAATGAAGAAATTGCCTGAGAAGTGTTTGCAAAAACTGTTGAGCAATTAAAGAAGAAAACGATAGCGAAGGCATTGCTCTGTTGTTGTTGCCAGCCAGAGTTGCATGCATGGGCAGCATCTGTGCGTTCAATTGGTCCTCAGAGATTCAAATAAGCTTGATGAATTGCTTGCAATCAAGTTCAATGCATATGTTATCTTTCATTGGAAAGTTTCCAAGTTTTTGCTTTCATAAAAGCATTTGTCTGTTCCTAGTTGATTGTTATAAATTTTTTGAAAATTTATTTGTTTTATTGCCTTGTCTGCACGTTGTATAAATTCCTTTTTTAAAGACTTCTACGAGATTCCTCTGCTTTTTATTATTCAGATAATTTTTACATGGTTTTAATAAATTTATTCATATTTGAAAAGCATTTATTAATAAAAAAAATCTCCATTTAGTCAGATGTACATTTGCTTTCAATTTTTGAGTTTGAACGCAAAAACTGTATAGTTTTGCAACAGAGATGCACAAGCACGCACACGCACAGACAAACACACACGTACAAACGCACACACACACACGCACGCACAAACAAACAAACAGACGCACATGCACAAATACCTGCACACACCTGCACAGAAGCAAGCACATCTATGACGTGTGATTGCTTGGAAAATTTACAGTAACGTACATTGACGTTAACTCCCGGACATGCGCAAATCGTAAAACTCACGGAGATAATTTTTTTATCGCCGACGTTTGAATTTTTAAAGAAGTTGTCCTCCATTCACTCATCTATTCATCTACCTACCCATTTTTCTACCTGTCCATCAATTCACCTGTTCTTCTAGCTATATTTTCTAAGTTGCACTTGCACACTCATCAACATATACAAACATAAAAACGTACTGGCATGGCATTCATGGGATTGACACACAGCAATCATCACATTTTGTGTGCATGCATGCATGCACATATAGGATGTCTGTGCTGTGTATACATTTTGTTAGTATACATGGTTTGTTGGCATGCATGTTTTACATGCATTTCATACACCTTTTGTATATTTGCACGTTTAGTACATTTGCATGTTTAATATGCATGCATGTTTAGTATGCATGCATGTTTATCAATCTTAGTGTCATCCAACATGCGTACAAACATCAAAACAATGTTGATGTCATCAGTGTAAAAGTCAGCAACGTTATGTTATTATGTTAATTTCATTCTTCACACATTCAAAAATCGAAACATCCTCGTTCGAAATGTTATAAAACTCATACTTTCAGTTGGATATGCTCATTAAAGCTTACAACAAGTTGAAAAATTTGATTCTACTAAAATTTGCGTGATATTTTTGCAACTAAACCAAAAATCAACAAACAAAATGGAATTAGGTATTTCAGCTATTGAAATAATTTCATAGAGAGAAATGTTCACCTTCGAGGAATGTGAGAGCTAACGTTGTACGTTATGTGTAATACATTTGTATATATAATAATATATTTATATAAATATTTATTTAATGTGTGAAAGCAAACATTCTCGTAAATGTTTAATGCATAATATATATATATATATGCGAACGTATATGGGTCAATTAAGATGAACAATCAACATATTACAGGGTTTTGAACGTTAAAATCGGCTTTCTCTTTTCTTGTTTCCCTTCTTTCCATACGCTCTTCTCTGTATCTGGGTTGATTTTTGAAGTGAAGCTGATGACAAAGAAGGAGCGTGAATGATTGAACGGATTTTTGAAGTCTGGTGCCTTTTGTTTGTTTTTCTCCGTATGCACTGATAACTTTGTTGTGTATTATATTGTCGATTATTCACTAAATTACATCTAATATATTATCTTTCGTTTAGTTGTTATGGCCATTATCGCGGTCATCATCAGCATAGCTGTGAATTCACTCATTACATTCGTTGTTTTGTGAGCACTGACCAGTACTGAACTGCATAACCATTGTGCAGCTCTCCAGATATAATGACTTACATTTTTGTAGTGTTTAAAACTACGATGAACGCTTCGGAAACCAAAACCTCCTTATGCAAACACACATCTAAATACACACACACACATGTAAGCACGCAAATACTTATATATTAGATCAGTGCAAATATTCATATGTACAGTTGTACACCTATTAACATGCAGATACATTCTCGCAAACTGATCTATTGGTAAATACTTGTAAATATATCAAAAAACGTTGATAATATTATGAAACGTTATTAATATTATGATAACTTTTAGGAAAATTTATTTGGAAATAATTAAAATCATTGTAAAAAATTTTTGCCATCTTCGTTAGTTGAGTTGGAAACTCTCAAACCGCAAGTGTCCTTTCTCACACATCCGTCACAGCCGAACATTTAAAAATTCCATTAAAAACTTTGTTAAGTTTAGAAAGTTGAAAAAATAATTTATTCAGCATTTAAAAGCTAAAAATTTTATTTTCAAACATTTTTAAGGCGCACATTCAACCATCACGTCATGGAATGAAAAAATCTTTAAGTAAACAAATTTCATAGTAAACAAGACGCAGAAATGAGCTGAGCAGTGCATTACTTATGTTTGTGTACGCCGGCTACTAAATACTTTCTCATATTTCGTTCCTCTGCCTAAACCACATGCATTAACTTTTTTTAATTTTTCCATCGCAAACACGACACGTTCGTCGCATAAAGCATGTTATCGCGTTTGTTTGTCTACGTGACTAGGAATGCCTATGAAGAAACGGGGACATTTAACTTGCACAACCTCCGTAAAACTGCACCGTACAATGTGGAACATGTGAGCCATTAATTGCACGTCACATACTTTTTCCTCTTTGTTTGTTTTTGTCTCGCCACGTCAAAAAAAAACTTTGAATGCATTGTACGACAAGTTAAAAATTTGAAACCTTACTATACTATGTCCAAATGAATAGATCTGAAATATAGGCCATTCATTTAACATGCTACACTTGGAGTTGGTGTTTTTTAATGCTTTTTTTTTCTAATGTCTCAGAGTTTATCTGGTTCGCCGATGGTACAACTGCTTCACATCCCCACTTGATTTTAATGAGTTATTATTTGTTATAAATATCCAACTTGTAGGAATCTATGACTAGGTGACATCCGCACCTGTCCTCAATCTAAATCTGGTAATCAACGATGTTCAAGTGTGGCAAGTTGATTTTATAAAATTAAACTGTCGAGAGTTATTGTCATCAATTCTTCATCATCTTGGTCTGAAAGTTTCTATTTATCTCTGAAAGAATATCAAAAAAAGGTTAATTCATCGTTTGAAATCTAGGTTTTCTAAAAATATTTTTCTTACTTTAACTTATTTATTGATTTTGTCTTATTCTGTTGTATTTTTTTCATAGTTGTTGTTTGCATGTTGCTTATTGTCATACTATGCATACACAAACATATGTGTTTAGTTTTAGCTATACTTTGAAGAAATTAATGAAAGATTTTAAAGCAATTAAAAAATATTTAATGTGATTATTACAAAGATTAAATTCCTTTCGCGATCAACTGCAACTCTTGAACGTCTCCAGCAACAATTAAGATGGTTTAATTAACTCTTACACTTAGCGAGTAATAATAATAATAATAATAATAATAATAATAATAATAAAAATAATAATAAAGCGAGCAGAAAATGCTGGGAATGGTGGGCCACGAGTGCACCGATGACAGCGTGCAAACTTTAACTATATGACGCAGACACGCCATACAGCCACTGCACTCGTGAAATACAAAATGAAGAGGCAGCGAAGTGATGGAAAAGAAAGTATAAAAAATTCATTAGAAAGAAAATAAGGACAAGATTGAAAAAATGTGTAAAAGATTGGGGAAAAATAAGTGTCAGAGTTAAAGAGAGAAAAAGGATGGAAAAATTGGAAAAGGAAAACAAGAAAAAAAGAGATAGAGAGGGAGAGAAAGAGAAAGAAAGAAAAAGAGCAGCCAAAGAGAACATAATTCAGCATTTCAGCCACCAACTCGATTCCCACGCAGCTTTTTAAGATTCCGTACTGCTCAGTTTACAAATTTAACCATAAATTTATTATTATTATTTATTAATCTAAACATCTATCCATCCATCCATCCATCCGTCCGTCCGTCCGTCCGTCCGTCCGTCCGTCCGTCCGTCCGTCCGTCCGTCCGTCCGTCCGTCCGTCCGTCCATCCGTCCATCCTTCCATCCATCCATCCATCCATCCATCCATCCATCCATCCATCCATCCATCCATCCATCCATCCATCCATCCATCCATCCATCCATCCATCCATCCATCCATCCATCCATCCATCCATCCATCAACTCTCGTAAAATTAGCATTGACTGAGTGAGTGAGAGAGAGATAAGGTGGAAACAAATTTATTTACTTCCGGGATGAAAGCCCGAGGTTCCAACTCGGTGACAGGCAACCAAATTATTTGCTGCTGAATCTCTTGAATGCGTTCAAAATTTTTCAGCGACGCCATCTTCACTTCCAGGTTTTCTGTTTTTTGTTTTTATTAAGTGAGGTTTCGTTAAATTGGTTTTACTCATGGAAGATTATTTTAATTACATGTTACAATTCAAATAATTAATTTGAAAGAATGGTCACAAAATTGCGAGTGCATAACAAAATTTTAATTTGGAACGACTTGAAAAATTTTTTAATCCATACTGAATTAGCAACGATGATAAAGTTCCATAGCAGAAAATCATACAATTCCAATACTCATTTTACTATTTTCAAAGCACTACTACCACCACCTCCGGAAAACTAACTAAGAGAACTTTCAAGTTGTTCAAGGGCCTCTTGAAGAAGAAGTTGTTCTCTGTGCTGCAGGGTGTAGTGTCTGATGTTGGCGAGAAGTAGGGGAACCTTTGTGCAGTGTTGCAAAGGTGCAATCAACAGGTCTGTCAGCTGCAAGCGTTTGCATCGCTGGTCTTGTTCGCACCACTGTGGGTTTGTTTGTTCGTTCTTTTGTTTGTTCATTTGTTTGTGTTTGCAGTTTGTGCTGTTTTGTTGGTTCGTATTTGTGTTAGTAGTAATTTTGATTTTATTAAATACTCGTTAGTAACCAATACAAATTTTTATAATTTTTTATGCTTTACTCACAATCATAGTTTCAATTAACATGTAGCATAAAATAAATGAACATTTATATGTAAATTAAACTAATTATGGAAATGACCTTCTCAAAATCACAAAAGTCCTCATTTTTCCTCAGTTGTTCGAGGTAGCAGATAGCTTTGGGGTAGTTGAGGCAGTAGTCGTGGTAGACCTCTGCATCCCTGGTCAGCTCGCAGAACTGTTTCAAATGTGTTTTTTTTGAAAACTGTCTATTGACACAACAATTTTGAAAAAAAGTTGTACATGTAATAATTCCGTGAAAAATAAAGAAGCAGCCTGTCAGATAATGACGATGTATTGTTCAGATCTCATCAAAAAATTTCGATAAAAATTACATTTGCCTTTTAATGCATTTTAAAAATGTTTTTTAAATGAAGGTAGTCAAGTGCAAATGAACAAAAGCTGAAAAAAACAAAACAAAATAAAGTAAATCAATCAAATTATCTAGCAAGAAAAACAAACACAAACAACAAGCGAACAAAAAAACAAACTCTTTTTATTCCTTGAACAAGCTGTTTAGTTGTGCCGAACTGCTCAAAGGAGCATTCTTTCACGAGGATTTTTATGAAATCTCTGCAGAACGTGTAACTCACCTGTTGAAGAATTGTGTCGTTAATTAGGTTTTAAGTCTTCAAAATCTTCATGGCCAGTCACGTGAACAAATGTTCTAATATAATTTTTTTATAGTCTTCAAAGCGATTGTTTGAGTTATTTTTATTTAATCTTTCGCATAATCATTACCGATTTAAAATAGAAAAACAAAACCATCGCTAATTTTGTATTGAGAAAAAATGATTTTTTTTTCGCAAAAAACAAGGGTGAAGACAAGAAACGCGATTCCAAATATTAATTGTAAATATTGACTCAAATAATCATCACATCATATATCATAGAGACAACATAAATTATTTTTAAAACAAACACATGAACTAGAACACGAACCAACACATGAACCAACACGTGAACCAGCACACGAACCAACACAATAACCAACACACAAACCAAAATATGAACTAACATAGCAGAGTTCATCTAGGTTTCCAAATAGATCTTGAGGTTCGGCAAACATTAGATGACCTTCAACTTGAACTTTCTTCAAGGGCTCCATGAAACACTGACAGCGTAAATAATAATCGAACAAAAATTTATTTACAAATGTTGTAATCTCAATAAAACGTGAATTTAACATTAACAACACCAATAAGTGGCGATTAAAAAAGACTGTTTTTTAAATATAAATGCGGTGCAAGGATTTTAAAATGATATTATTGAATTATTAAAAATTTGCTTCTAGATGTTTGATAATTTTTGGACAAAAAATTGAATGTTTGGATGATTTGTTGCGTATAAAAGGCAGTGGCTGGCACCAACGCAGCCTCCACTGAGTGTCGATAATTTAATATGTCAATCCGTTTTACTCTGGAAAGATATTTCAAAATAAATTCGATTGATGATGATCAGCGGAGTGCAGACATTTTTTAACGTTTCCAGGTCGTAGAAGATCTTAGACATTTTTGATTTTTTTGTTTTTCTTTGCGTTCATTTTGAAAATTTGAATGTACATGATCCAAATTTAATGTTTGCGTTTCTTTTAGCAGTGTGTTGTTGCTGTCTTGATCATTTTCTAAATTACCCACCTGTCAACCATTAATTTTATGACGTTAGATCTTTATATAAGATGTGACCATTTCATCTTAACCAAAGACTGTCAAATAAAAATATAGTGTTGCCGAACGCGAAAAAGAGAACAAAAAAGAAAAACGTCATCAAAAAGTGACGTCATCTTCCTAGTAGAATGTTCAATTCCGTGCAACAAGAGAAGTAGGATGTACAACCACAGAAAGATTTGAAAATGGAGTTGAATATGGCGCGAGAGTTTTCAGTGCTGACTTCCATTATTGACAGCTGATTCAATTGAAATTCAGTTTTTTCTTTCAAAATCTGCAGCGCATATTATCATTTCGCATTCCACAAAATTATGTTTGTTTGTGTGTGTGTGTTTGTGTTGGTGTTTATGTGTGTGTTTGTGTTTGTATGTTTGTTGGCAGGTATAATATCTATCATATCTATAAACAAAACAAGCAAACAGCCTAAGTACACCGTGACCAATATTGCATTGCATTAGTATGCATCATCATTCCATTGCTAATTGACGTGCATTGTGATTGAGGAACTTGCAAAGATAAGATATTCAATATGACGTTGACGGATCACCAATGTTTTTTTTAAATGTCTATGTGTTTACGTACTTGTTTATCTCTGATCTGCTGCTATTTTATTTGTAATTTTATTTTCGCTGTAGAAATCTTTTAGCTGGGGTGTCTAAGTTTTTTTTTTGATATTTGGTTGTAAAGTTGATAACATAGATAAGATAATCAAAATTTGGTGATCTGAATGGACGTTTGTTTATCAATTGAGAAGACATGGTAAGTATATTTTGTATCTGGTCATCAATTTTCACAATTATTAACAGACGCAAATGAAACTGCATTCAGTAATATGTTTACGAACTTTATCTGAATTCACGATGAAGAAAATCACAAAATGGACAAAATTGATAAATAAATAAATTATAAACATAGAAAAAATTATAAAATTTTCATTCGAGGCACGTGTCAAGCTTCATTGCAACGCACCAGCCACTTTCGCTTCTCCCTTATCAGTATTTATAACATCCTTAAAACATTCTTGCTGGAGTAAGAACTTGGATATAATTTTTTAATTATAGAAAGCTCTGAGACCAATCTCTCTGGAATGATATCTAGGCATGATAAATTTGCATCATGCATAATTACGATCATGATTAGAAGATTGATTTATAATTGAAATCGGAATTTTAAAATACTTGGAATTATTATTATTGGATTATTATTACTATGAAATCATATATAAGGTCACTGCACGGCTATTACTTACTGCTATAATAACAGTAACTGTTACTACTACTACCACTACTAATACTACTACTACTAGGGCTACTATTATTACAACTGCTGCTGCTACTACTACTACTATTACTACTACTACTACTACAACAACAACTACTACTACTACAATTACTACTATTAAACTACTACTACTACAATAACAACAACAACAACTACTACTACTATAAATACTACTACTAAAACAACAACAACAACAACAACAACAACAACTACTACTACTACTACTACTACTACTACTACTACTACTACTACTACTACTACTGCTGCTACTATTACTGTCACTGCTATTACTTCTACTACAATAATCATTGTATCTACTACAGCTACTGCTACTGCTAATAACATTAGTAATAACAACGGCCATAGTAATAATAGCCATTAACATGACCATGGTTATCATCGTTCAATCACGTATGAATGAAGAAGACAAAATTCATAAAAAAGTGAGTGTGAGAGAGGTAGAATGTTTGTATGTGTGCGCGTGTGTGTGTCTATGAACGAGTGTGTGTGTGTGCGTGCGTGTGTGTGAATGTGCGTGAATGTTTTTTCTACGTTTATGCCACTATAAAAAGTGCAATCTTTTTAAATTATTTAATAATTATTTCAATTGCCAAATTAAATCAGACTCCCGTTGTGGAAAATGAATGCAGTGAAATGAACCATTCACTCTGAATTACTGTTTTTATATTGCTTAAAAGAGTCGTGGGGTAAGTTGGATTAAAGTTAAAAATTGTAACAAAAAAAAAGACAAAAATAATTTGATATGATTATTATGAAGAAATAATGCATGGAGGTTTTCATGCGAGAACTGAGCATGGAGGCAGAAACAATTCATTTTAATTATGCTCTTTCAAAGTTCTTGAAATATTTATAAGTGCAGAGAGTGCAAACATGCCACTACATACAAAAAAAATTTTAAACCACAACAACCAACAACAACAACCAACTTTTGAAACGAGAAGAAAAAACTAACAACAACAACAACAAACAACAATAATTAGCAACCACAACCAACCTTTGAAACAACAAAACCAAAACAAACAGCAACGTTATGAAGAGCGCCAAAGTTACACAACAATAACGAAACATCATATTTTATACAAATCAACAACAGGGAACTTTATGTTACGGTATTAAAAACAACAACTACAACATTACAGTAACAACAGCAACAACACAACAACAACAGCAACAACAACAAAATATCCATCTTCGCAAAAGCAACATGAGGGTTGAACTAACAGCACCAACAACAACAAACACTAACGTGTTTGAGGACCATAAGGTGATCCAATAAGAAAACACATTCGCATGTGAACAACTCCCAAACTGCTTCCCGCCTTTTGCGTTCTGTTTCCGGTATCATTGAAATTACTGAAAATGATGTTGATGTTAAGGACGATGATGATAATGATGATCCGGGGTTGTAGTTGTTGTTAATGATGCTGCCAGTAGCGATGTTGTTGTTTTTGTTAGTGACGTTGTTGCCACCCGTGATTTTAACGTTGTTGTTGGATAACTTGTGAGAATTATTGTAACCAGATGTTGTTGTTGATGTTAACGTTGCTGTTGTTGATGTTGCGAAGTTGATGTTTTCCATTTCCTGGAGAGATGCTGTCGTCAGATGTGTTGTTGATGCCATTGAATGCGATGAGAAGGATTTGGTTGAGGAGAGGAAATGTGACCAGTGAGTATCCTAAAAGCAATCATCCGCATCATTACTATCAATAAGTCAGTCATCATCATCACCACCAGCATGATTGTCATCAAGATTTTCTTTTAGGCACATTTTTATGTCAAGTTTCGTCAGAAAAATTATTCTCATTCACCTAATTAATCGACATCATAATCAGCATCATAATAAGTGAGTCATCATTATCATCACCATTATATCATCATCATCATCATCATCATCAGATACATCATCGCAAACATCATCATTGTACTTTTTGTCATCACCATCTTTATCATCATTTTTTTCATCATCATCACCACCATCATCATCATGTTAACCATCATCACCACCATCATCCTCATCATCATTCCTGGAGTCATTACTGCAATGCACATGGGTTCTTTTATTAATCAGCTAAAAAATATTCATTTCATCACCAGAGTAACCACCCGCCTTTATATAGATAGGCCTTTGAAAATCATATTCCTCACAATAGCAACAAGTACTTTTAGCGTTTTTATGAAAATTATAGCAAACACAACAACAACAATCACAAAAACAACAACTACAACAACAACAACGACAACAACAACAAAAACAACTACTACTAATACTACTGCTTTTAATTTAATCATCTGCTACATCTAATTCTTTTTCTTATTCCAAAAGAAAATTTTTCAATTAATTATTCAATTATAATTTGAAAGATTCGAATTTGTAGATTTAATAAAAATATATTTTTTGTATTTTGGACTATTAAAATTTTTCCAGAAAATTTGTTTGTATGAACAATTTTTTAAAATTTAACTAATTTATTTATAAATTCAATATTTTAAATTAAAACATTAAAACAATGCAAAATAGAATGCTAAAATGCAATAACAAAGTGTACATCCAATTATAATAATGACGCACGTTTCACAGGAAAAACGTTTAAAGCTGAGTGTTTCAAAAGTTGTCTGCAGGTTTTACTTACAACAAAAATGTGCTGTCTAAATGTTTAGGAGGTGTTGTTGTTTATGCAGTTGTTTCAGCAGTTGTTTATGCTGTTGTTTATGTAGTTGCTTATGTTATTACGGTTGTCTCTATCATTATTTACGTATTTGTTACATACCTAGTTGTTTGAGTTGCAGCGTTCGTCAGCATTTATGTCATGTTTGCCGCCATTGTTTTTGGAATAATTGCATTTGATTTTTGCTGCATACGAATTGCAATTGTACTTAAATTCTGTTTGACAAATTTAAATTTTTTCAAACTTTTATTATATTTACATGTGTTAACAAGTTTATAAGAGAAAGTTCTTTTTAAACAGTCGTTAACTATATTTTACATAAAAATTTGAAAACGCCTGGAGTCATTTTACGTTTCCGTTACGACTGACCATTATATCTTCAATGAGTTTCTTTTGTGACGAACTTCTTCGGCGGCGTCACACTTGCAAACAAATTTAAAATGTTCAACCTTCTAAGCGTTCGCTCAATGTTTGTTCTCTTTCCGCTCATTGTTCGTTCAATGTCGGTTCATTGTTTGTTCAATAAATAATATCAGAGCTTGTTTTTCAACCAGATCGTATGCTTCTTGTTGATATTATAAAATTTGATAATTGCGTTTTCAAATGTTGACAAATAATTAAGTCAACTTATAATCAACTTAATTTATTTTCATTAATGCAGAATTAAAAAGATAAAAAAGAATCGCAGTGTTCATTAAAAATGAATAAAAACAATTTAAAAATTCACTTAATGAAGAGTAAAAAACAAGTTTATTCACATTTCTATTTATTTATCTGAACGCTTGAACAAAACGTAATAACGTGTTTTCAAAATATCGACAATCCTAACGAACTCAGCACATGAAGAGTTCACAAACCTCTTCTAAACTTCCTTAGC